TTCATTTGGTGTTGTGTCGTGCGATATTTCAAACTCAAAATATGTGACTTGGTTCAGTAAAGGTTGGGAATCACTGCCCTAAACTATAAACTTACCCCAGCGGTACGTGACATATGTATGATTTATATGTAAAAACGGAGTCCAAGGCTACATACACTAAAGGGGCCTCCCGCCTGTGTGATGTCCATTGAAAAAAGGAAAGGAAGGCAAGCAGGAGCAGTCAAATGGAATGACTGAATTAAAGTGGTAAGTAGTGGTCCGTTTTTGGCAGCATAACATGCCACCTACGTCCTAAAATAATTAGATTGAGGCCTTGTGGACTGGAGTGTCTGCTCAAAAAAGAAGGAATGACCTTGGCGGTGAATGGAAGCCTCACATTAAAGAAAAAAGAAAAGAAAACAACATTATTTCCTTACGCTTGAGGTTTGTTGTCTTTTGTAGTGAGTATAGCCATTCACCATTCGCTTTCATGCAGCTGTGCCTCCTCTTTGTGGCCTTTCACCGTGAATGCAGAGAGGGAATGTGTCAGTCAGAGGCAGGTAGACCTCATTGCAAGTTAATCTCCCAAAAGAAGCTTGTTAAAAAAAAGCACTTTTAAATTCTTGAAAGCATTTTTCTCTCACCTCCTTTGTCAGTTTGAAGAGCGCGAGTGCACGGCCGGCGACAACGGCGGCCAAGTGTGGCGGAGTAATCACCTTTCTGGGGAGAAAACACTAGTAATTACTTTTAAACTGTTTGGGCTCGGGAGACAACTGCTATTGTGCTCAGAAATGAAAGGCTGACGCTCACTCTCAATCTGTTTGTTTACAAAGATTTTGCCTTTGCTGCATGCACCGCCATCACATATGTATGTGTGCAATTGTTTGTGTGACCACTAGTTTGACCCATTTCTCACTCAGAGACAGGAGGCCATCAACCACAAGGAAAGGGTTCTATGTTCAGGTCAGCTTCAGGTCAAGTTCATTTATTTTCCCACCACTCCATTAGCCAGTCATTCCCAACCACTGTGCACATTCGTGTCAGATCAAGTGCACAAGGGCTGGGTGATTACGGAACGAAATTATTATGAGGATTACTTTGATTGATATTGAAATCGTGATCATTAAACGATTAATCATTGACTTCAAAATGTAATATTTAGTGAACTACTAAAACTCAACTACACCAAACTAGCATCATAGCCTCATAACCATTCATTCGATTAATCCTTGAAATCTGATCTACAATTTGAAACAACAACGAAATCTGAACTACAATTTGAAACAACAACCACAACTTAAAATAGGAGCAAAGTCCAATAGGAATATACTACAATTGCAATTTTAAAAATAAATAAAAATAAATACTGTACTGCTTCCTGGTGTGCGCGAATTGGCCTGTGAGGGGCAGTGTGTTGTCTTGCATACATGGAGTACACACATTGAGATAAGAACAGTAGAAGAAGAAAAATGCTCCAAAGAGCTCTACTGTAAAAATATACCTCGTTTTTCGCATATTGGGAAGAATATGTGCCTTTAAGTGTTGTTATGTTACCTGTGTGGATGCGTTCCGACAGCGTTTGTGTGTGAATATTCCTTATTTCAAAGAATATCACTCCCGTAGTTTGATGCTAACTGACCAGTAGCACGCCAATGCGATGTTACATTGACTTTAGCATTAGCTCAAATATATATAATATATAAAATTGGTGTAATCCTTTCTGTTGTGTGATTTATTTTTGCACTTAACTAATGGGGGTCGTTCAAAAGTTGAAAGGATGCCACGTGACGGCAGAATCATGCTTGCTGCACGAGCAAAAAGCTGCATTCAGGGTTCTTTCGGAACGTCGAAAACACCACGCCCTTCTACACGTTTTTTTCGGTTATGTTTTTCAGAACGTGGGAAGCCAAAATCACGATTAAATTCTGATGTAATTCTAATTTTAGTCAAAGTGGAAGTCAAGTTATGTTCTATGTGCCCCGACGAGTCTCTATTCGGCCTTTGTATCCCGGATGCAGTGTTTATATATGGAGCGGTTTCATTCAAATTGGAATACTGTACAAGGATCCATGTAAACCCGGCCAGTTCAGGGCCTATTTGAAACGCTAACGTTTCCTTGATACCCTAATTCGTAAGAAACCTGACTTTCACGTAGAAACACTATCTCTGAAAACTGAATATTATTATTTTGTGGCAGTCGAAAGGAGCACACACGATTGTCTGTAGAACACGTCTTTATTCCAAGACTGCCAACAAGTAGATCTGAACAGTTACAACTTGTGCCACAATTCTTGACATAACCACGCCCCCTACCACATGCCTGCTGGGTGAGAAGCATGGTCCTAATGTCCGCCATAATTTATAAATTACTTAAGTATTGTTTTTGAAGGTAGAATCTGAACATTGCGGCGTAAGAATAGAACATCCGCAGTTTATACAATACAATACAATACATGCTGATTTATATAGCGCTTTCACAACAGCGGCAGCTGTAACAAAGCGCTTAACAAAACAGTTAACATAAAGTAAAATAATAAACACAACACATAACATAAAACACGGACAGTCATGCAGTCCTAACCACTTTTCCGGGACACGCTTTGTTGTTTGAAGCAGTTTGAGATGAAAGAGGAGAGAATCAAATATTATGTACGTACAAGCAATAATGTAAGCAATAATGCATTTGATTTAAATGAAACTGGAGACAAGTTCAGACGCACTGAATGGGCTCTCCTTCTGTCCTGTGTTTCATTGTGTTGACCAATAGGTGTCAGTGAGTGGCAGGAAATCATGGATGCTCCACTCCATTTTATGTGAGGCTTAATTGGAGCGTTTCTGCGTCAGGTCCCTTTGAAGCCTACTACTCGTGCACATAATAAAGAGCAGCACTGGCTCCTTTGTACTTGTCATTTGCAATCTGAATTCATCACATCAAAAGACCTTTCTGATGGACTTGAAATAAAACGGCTCATTACAAAGTGTTGATTAGTGGATGGCACAACATGTCAATTACATTTTGACTGGAAATCGTGAATGAAGCATATCTTAATACAAGCGAATACATTTGTTTTGCGCTTGTATGACAGCATATAAACTGTTTGATTTGTTAGTATGCGTTGTGTAATATTAAAAAACCCTTTCGGGGGATGCTTTGAGCTTCAAAGCCACTTAAATTGCAGTGCAAAATGGAGCAAAAGTGAATAATATCCACCATGCTGACACTACAAATACAAGTCTTGGCTTGTAAAAGCCTAACAAATGATACAAAGAGTTTTCTTTCTTACGTTATTATTGGACAATCAATTGAAATAGCTTAACTGTGCATACATACAATGCATCAGAAATCTTAAAGAGAAAAAAATCAAACAAATTTCTAAACATCTAGGCAGGTGGATTTTTTTTTTAATTATGGTGCTATTTTTTTTAATAAGCACAGCCCTATAAGAAGTGTTTCTTGATTTTTCTTAACAGAAGAGGGTCAAAATGTTAAAAGAAATAGTAAATAGATAAAGAGAAGGCTACAAGTACAATTATAATTAAATACAATTACATAAAATAAAAATGTAATTCTATAATGCACTTAATATCTTTCTAAACTTTATCTTTGCAAATGTCACACCTCTTCTAGTGAATGTCATTAGTTTATGCAAGTGTGGACAGTGAGCATCGTCATTATACATATGCTCATGAATATAACCTATGTTAGGAAACATGAATTTGCAACAGATTTTTTTTTATTGAAATAGTGTTTATATTAAGATGGTAATGTCTTTACCACCTTTCAAAATGTCCTCCAAAACCTACAAACAAAAATTAAATAAGAAAACAAGAGAAGCGAGCTCACACGACTGACTTTTTTTGACTTTTATGGAGGCAGCGCTTGACCACCAAGCAAATGAATTACACTGGTCTTTACACTCATAACTGCACTTGATCTGTGCATTTTGCAGGTCACATATACAGTACCGCCCATGCCCAGGTCAACAAGTTCGCTGTTAGCCAATGCTAATTTGTATCAACATTGCAGCTCTGCTTACCTTTTTGGGTTTGTCATGATACTGCTTCTCTGCAATTCCTTGGCCAAACTATGCTATCAAACATCCATCCATCCATTTTCCGATCCGCTTATCCTCACAAGGGTCGCGGTGGGTGCCGGAGCCTATCCCAGCTGTCTTCGGGCAGTAGGCAGGGGAGACCCTGAACCGGTTGCCAGCCAATCGCAGGGCACACAGAGACAAACAACCACTTGCGCTCACACTCACACCTCGGGACAATTTAGTGTTCAATCAGCCTGCCATGCATGTTTTTGGAATGTGGGAGAAAACCAGAGTACCCGGGGAAAACCCACGCAGCCCCGGGGAGAACATGCAAACTCCATAAAGGGAGGCCAGAGCTTGAAAAACAAATGTTTATTATTATCCTCGGTGAGCACTTGTGGGCTTGCTTTTGGATCCGCTGAGGTTTCGAAATTGCACAGGAGGTCTGATCAAACCCATTTTTATTGTTTTTTGTTTTGTTTTTTTTTGGTAGGTATCACTTGCAAATATTACTCAGAAAGAAAATATGTTTTGTACGGGAGTGTAGCTCTGTGACTGAATACCCATCCATTGTCCCTCATACATATTCCAAAAATTAAATGAAAAAGCATCATCAATATAGAGTACAGGGAAGAAAAAGTGTCATTTAATACAGTAATAAATAACAGATGCAAACTGTTGATCTTCCAGTCGGTTCTTGCACCCCTGCACCATATAAAAATTGGAGTGCTATTCAGCTCGGGTTGCCCCTGACGGCCAGTCATGCAGTTTTAAATGAAGAGCACATAAACAACTGATTGAATCATGCAGGGGAAGATGAGTGGGACGTTTTAATGAGGCTGTTTAGTTTATACAATACAATACATCTTGATATAGCACTTTCACAACAGCTGCAGCTGGAAGTAAGCACTTTACAGAACATTTAACATAAAATAACAAATATGATACAACCAAACACATACAAAATTCCAGAATTGTAGAACTATTTAGGCACCAAACAAACTTAAAAAAAGTATTTTGGAAGGATTTGGTTTTAATTATAATTTTAGTGTTAATGTAATTACAGTAACAGGGTTGCAAATCAGTGCTAATGTCAGCATTTTGGCTCCAAAGTACATGCTAACTGTGTTAGCTGCTATGCTAACTCATCAAGAACAAAATTTGCTGTACAATAAAAAAAGGAAAAACGTAATTTAAGTGTTTTTCAGAAGACATATGGGTGGAAATATTGAATTGACATGAATGGTAGGATGTTATATTTGAAATGCAAGTTGCAATACGGCTGGACAAGAGTAAAATGCCATTAGGAGGTGCTCAAGAGTATTTTACTTTAAATACATAGGAATCACTTTCCCGACGTAATCATCTTCACGACTTATACTTATTGTGTCAGGACAACTAAAATTGTAAAAAGTGTATGATTCTATATTTTGTGAAGCCAACTATTTAAAATTCCCAGTTCCCGTTCTGGAATGACCCTTAAAGATATTGCTTATGTGTTCACACTGAGGATAACAAAAAACAAATTAAACCATTAAAAAATGGGTGACGGGTACAATCCGAAGTGTCAGACATGGTGTTGAAAGCGTGCTAGCACACACAAAAAGGAGGGGGTGGATGTTGGATGATGAGGAGGGGGCTGGTGACAAATTTCCAGCCGGTCCTCGTATCATGCAGGTGTCCTCGCTTGTGGATGTGTGACACCTCGGCGACACGAGCGGACCGTTAAGTCGGCAAAGCGGATCCGATCCTAAATATTTGATGAGGCTGCAAATCCGAAAGAGGAAGGATGTGCTCGTCTGGATGAGAGACCCCCCGCAGCGGTGAAGACGCGCGGCATCTGCTCGCTGCCATCGACCGGAGCTCCGAAATGGAGGCGGGGGAGGTTTGGGAGAGGAGGTTGAGGGGGGCGGAATGACGAGAACCGAGCCACCTCGCCGGAACCGACTGCTCCAATATCATTTTGAGGGGATAAAGACGTTATTTTGTGCACGCCAGCTCACCGACGTTCGCCGCTGCGTGTGTGGCGGAGCGTCCATTGTGGACGTTTGCGTGTGTGCTACTGCAGATGTGAGCTACAAGAAGGCCCTTTGCATCTGGCTGCTGCAACATGGACTGTTTGTTACATCAAATCGTTGTTGATTACTGAACTGATAGTCAAACCATTTGTTATACTGATAGTTCCTCCTGACTTTGGGGGAGAAAGAGGCGGGATCACCCTGGACTGATTCGGCTTTCTGTCAATCACCGGAGGAGCACCAGACATTCACACCCGAGTGCTGTTTTAGGGGTTAAGTCGAAACGTGTAGTTTCATATATGGATGAAAAAAAAAAAGTTACAATATTTTGGGTGGAGATGTGAGCTACAAAAGGCCTGTTGCATTTGGATGCTACACAATGGACTCTTTACATCCAATAGTTTGTTGAACTGATATTCAAACATCATTTTTTTTTTATGCTGCTGCTTCCTGCTGACTTTGGGTGAGATGAGGATGGAACACGCTGGACTGATTATCTGTCTATCACAGGAGTGAAGACCACATATTCACACATAAGTGGACCGAGTGAACATTTTGTTAACATTTGCGACAAGATTTTTTGCACCTGGACCTCCATGCTCCACCACGGACTAATCGCATATCCAGTGGCTCTCCTTCAACTGATATTCGAACATCATTTTTTTAATACTTCTAATCACGAGGTCAAAGCTGGTTCTTGCTGATTTTGAGATCACCCAAGGCACACGGGATCACCCAAGACTGACAGTCACAGGCAGGAATAGCAGCAAGCGAGACCCTAATTCACACCAATTTTGTTTCCATGGCAACAATCAAGTAAAAAAAAGACTTTTTGTGGACAGACATTGACGAAACTATTCCCGTTCCCCCCCCCCCCCCCCCCCAAAAAAAAACAGAGTGAAAATGCTGAAATACGAATGCCGAGCCTGGAGTTGGCGAGGTGACCTATTTGAAACCTTCTTTTGAATCCGTACTTGGATGTTAGTTTTCCAGCAATGCGATTATAAGCAGCAACACTGCAACAATCATCTATTATGGTTTTGTCTGGGACATTTTTCGCCCAATCGCATGTCAACATTTCCTCACATGACCGTTTGCGCTGTTTGTACCGTAGCGATAACGCAGTAGATTTTGAATGTTCCCATTATCAGGATTGTTATCATGTAAGCCAACAGCCATTTTCCTTGACCTGACTTGAACAACGGTGGCGTGATTGCACCTTTCGGTCTTTGGTAAACCTAATATGTTTTTGGCCTGTGAGAGGAAGTGCTCGATGTGCGCACAAAATGCAAACTGATGACCCAAAACGGTTCCATCCCGGCATCGAATCCGTAAACTTTCTCCAGTAGCATGGAATTGAAATGTATCCCGTGTTATTCACAATGAACTAACGAGGCCATAACAGGATGCCGCCGGCAGGCAGAGAGACGCCAATTATGCCAAGCACTCAGGCACCCACCGTCGCCCCCAATGTAACCGACGTTCCCCGGGATTCCGGTTATGACTTTCTCGGTGGAGATCCGGTGTGGGACTCGGTGACCAACAGCGTTCTCAAGATCACGCTCATATCCGTGATCGTGTGCGTCTCCTTGTTCGGGAATGTGGTGGTGCTGCTGGTTTTCCAAAGAAAGCCTCAGCTTCTGCACGTGGCCAACCGCTTTGTCCTCAACCTCCTGTTGGCTGATCTTCTCCAGACGGTGTTGGTCATGCCCTTTGCCATCGCCGCCACCGTGCCGGGCGTTTGGCCTCTGGATGCCAGACTGTGCCAGGCTTTGGTGGTGCTCATGCATCTTTTTGCGTTTGCCGGCGTCAACACTATCATCGTCGTCTCGGTGGATCGCTACCTTGCTATCATCCACCCCTTGTCCTACCCCACCCGGATGACCCCTCATTTGGGCACGAACCTGATCATCTGCACTTGGGTGCTCAGCGTCCTCCAGAGCACGCCACCCCTGTACGGCTGGGGCGCCATCGACTTCAACCACCATCACAAGATGTGCTCGGTGGTGTGGTCCTACAGCCTGTCCTACTCGGTTGTAGTCGCCACCTTCTCCTTCTGGCTCCCGGTTCTCGTCATGCTCGGGTGCTATTGGATGGTATTCCGTGCGGCTAGGAGACAGAACGCCCTGGTGCACCCGATACAGACGCGATCCTACTCCCAGCCCTGCCCTCAGGACTTTCCAGGACAGATCAGCACGCCACCACAACAGGCGAGTTCACCGGACGGCCCCTCATCGGCCAATGGCTACCCCGCCCGTGTGAGGCACCGACGCTTCCACTACCACTGCAAGGCGGCGCGTGTCGTCTTTGTGATCATGGCGTCTTACATCCTCAGCATGGGACCCTACAGCGTACTCAACACCATATCCATGAGCGCCAGAGAAGTCGTACCCGCCTGGTTGTCCTCTCTGGCTTTGGTGCTCTTCTTCCTGCAGTGCTGCTTGCACCCGTACATCTACGGCTACATGCACCGCAGTGTGAGGAAGGAATTCCTCGCTTTGTTCTGCGGGATATTCTGCAAGCAGGGACAGAGCTCGGCAGCCGAGACCTGCCTCACCACGGCAGCGGAGGGCCGCACCGGGGCGCACTCTCACTTGCCGAGCCTGGCCGGCAGGGTCTTTCCATTGCAGACTTGGGAGGAGTGCACCACGTCGTCTTCGCCCGCTTTCGAAAAGAGGTCGAGGGACAGCCGCAAGGAGACCACCACGACCAGTGTCAGCTCGGACCGGGAGCCCACCGTCCATGGCAAACAGAGTACATAAAGACGTGAAATTTTGGATGTATCGATCAAACTGTACACTGCTCCCAAAGAGTTAAGAATATTTGACTTTCAGGTGAAATTTTAGGCTGAAATTCAAATGGATGATACTTAATACCCCTCCTTCGCGGTCCCACTAGTTTTTTTATACAGTTCATAACTTTATATTGGGTGTAAGTCCATTCTCACCCACTAGATGGCGGCACATTTATTTAATTTGAGATGTAAATTTGACATGTGAAGAACAAAAGTATTTCAGCACAGGCTAGTTTTTGTTGAAAATTATTGAATGTAGTCCACGGAAATCCTGATTTTTATGCCTACAGAAATTGACTGTCGTACGTTTATTTTATAATGCACATTTTCGGGCACGATTATTGATGTAGATTGTGAGATAAATTTGCTCGTTTGGGAAAAAAAGATTTGTTTAGTGTAAACCCAGAGGGATTGATATAGTTACACGGTGCAATATTTTTTTTGTCATCATTGCTCTTGCTTTCTCTCTTAATATATTTTATGTTTTAAAATGTGATTATTATTTTGAAGGTGTATAAATGCTATGAAAACATGCATCTAAATAGGATATGTCTATATTGCGGATTTCACTTATTGCGGAGCAGGGTCTGGAACATTACCCCACATGGAGGGGCAGAATTACTGTGTCATTTTTACAAAGGTTGTGGTGCACCCAAAATATCCCTAACTTTTTTTGTGAGTTTATTTGAGCTAACATTTCACCGATTAAATTATTGTTCGGGATTCTTATCCATTATTTAGGAGTAGCATAAATTGGCAGCCTTTACTTTTTTGAGGTGAAAACGTACAAAGACACCTTGGCGTTCAATCATTGGCTTGATGTGGTACAGGACCTGCACCTTGAGAAACAGAAATGGACTATACTCCCATTTTCTGATCAAAGTCAGAAAAAAGGCCCCGATTCTCTTGTGTTTCTGAAAGATTATCCTGAACGATTATGTGGTGCGGGTCATTCAGTATTAACAATCGCAAATGATGATGTATGTAGGCAACAGCCAGATCATAGACTCCACAAATGTGACGTAAAATGGAATAATTGCCAATAAGTAATGGACCTGAAGCTTCATTCTCAAAATTAGTTAAAATGTTCACAATTTGGTGTGTGCATAGACATACAGTTCACCGTTTTAGATTTATTGTGGCTTAGGCCAAATGTAAATGTCTGCTGTTGTTTGGTAAATTATATTGGATGTTTGAAATCTCAACAGACATCCTGCTCGTCGATCCGTCATGGTTAATATTTAAGCGAGACCAAGTTTTGCCTCCAGCCAGTCGTCTCAGGGTGTGTTTTCGAGAGTGATGTCTGTACGAGAGCTCATGTTTGGAATAAATCTGGTTGAGCCAGTGAAGAATTTCACTGCATTGTAATTCAAACAGGTTTTCAGAGTACCTTTTTACAAATCTAGAGTGATTCATTGTGCATGTCAATCACACAAGGGACTTATCGGCCGTATAATAAAGGTTTGTCATAATTCATTTTCTTTCACTCAAGCACACAAAAAAAAAAGGGTTGTTTACTTACGTGACACACGCAAAGCTTCATCCCGTGTGTAACAAGTCCAAAGATGAGATTGTATTCAATTTTTAAAGGCATCACCAGTAACACGTGAAGGACCAGCATGACTTCCTTGTTCTCAATTGGTAACATTTTTAACCAATGGATGGTGTGAAATAATTAGTGATGCACAATATGAAAAATTCCAACAGATACTGATAATTTACTGATTTGTATGGCTGATATGCTACCTGAGAGAGAGAGAGAGAGAGAGAGAGAGAGAGAGAGAGAGAGAGAGAGAGAGAGAGAGAGAGAGAGAGAGAGAGAGAGTGAGTCAATGACATTTGAAAGAAATAAGGAATTACTTCCCGGTGTAATTGCAGAGATGTCACTGGATGTTTTCTGTCTTTTGCAATAGTTGATTGCTGTTCATTTCAAATGGGATGAGGTACGAATTCTGTAGTTTAAATTAGCAGTCACCACTCAAACCCATCTCAAACCTGTCAAGAGACTGTTGCACTCAAAACTGAATAATTGGTAACAGTACTTGCAATCCCTACATGGAACAAATCATTTATAAATAGTTGAGCACAGTAAAATTTACTGAGTGTTTAGAAATCTGATGAGCAGTTGACGCAAGCCGTATTTCTTAGTTTTACAATTTCATTTTACATCTGTACACTTGATCGACCTCATACAGTGCTGCTGTTTTTTTTTAATGTGACTTAATGTATTTTTGTGATTTTGTATTTTTACCAGAAAATGTCTGTAAGGGTTTATATTCACGGGTCAGTGTTTCATGTGCTTTTACATACAAAAACAATTAAAAAAGATTGACTAGTTTGTCATTGGCTTTTTTTGTGTGGAATGTATATGCAGGTTATTCTCAAATGACATGAATAATCTCTAAATTAAATAAAAACTTGGTGGGGGGGGGGGGGTCACGTTCACGCCTATGGTGGCCAAAACAAACCCTCAGACTGAGGTACGGTTATTAAACAGTCCCCAAATACGTGTAACAATCCACAAATGCTCATCATAATTCATATTTGTGCAGTTGGGTCAACCATTTAATAAGGCAATTGGGGGCTTCAGAAAATCTGAATGGGTGTATGTACCCCACTAAACCTTTTAAGTGAAGAACCGACATAATACATTGTCCGTCTTCTCACGCGACTAAATCCTAAACACAGTTAGCAATTCACTACTGGAGAGAGAGAAAGGACAATACGAATAGAGATTTTGCATTTTGCTTGTGAGCAAGAGAAGGAGCCGAGTGATGACATTTGACTTCATTTTCCAAACCAGAGTGAAAACAAGAAAATACATCACGTATCCATGTTTGCGTATACATTCAAGAGACGTGACGTTCGATTACTTGTATATATTTGCAAAACATTATCACCGTGGGTAACGACCCCCTCGCCCCACTGAAGCAAACAGTGTCAGAAACAAAAGCAATTAATCAGTAAATTCACAGACGCTACTCATTCGGATGAATTAAACAAGATGGAATTACAAGATCCTCCATTTTGGAACATGCTGCAGCCGAAATCTACAACGCCGGGCGCCCTCTCCTTTGATTCAAAGCAAACACATAAATATAAAGAGGGGAAAAAAAAAAAAAAGACATGTATCAGCAACAATGTCAGTGTTTTTATATGCTTTCTCAACTACAATACAGGCTGATATAGTTCAGGATTTAAAGCCCTAAAATGACAACAGAAAAGTCATGAGCATTCTTTCCTTTGTTCTGTCTATACAATGTATGTACAAGCAGGGTTTTTTTTCTCTCCCATCACTTCAGTAAACAACAACAACAACAACAAAAAGAGACCCAAAAATATTGTGTGGAAGCGAAATAGAAAATTAAAAGGCATTTGCATTTTCTTCATAAATCAAGAAAATGCTTTTGTTTGTTTGTTTGTTTTTTATTCCACAAAAAGCAAAATGCTCAAAATGATAACGAGGTCCTCCCGTTAGTCTGTAATAGTGTCGCACTGAATATTAGCAGTCGAGAGTGAACGCGCCAAAGAAAAACTATTGGACAGAGGTTTTTAAAGCACAAAAAAAAAAGAGGACGGGCTTAGCTCGGGGGGGTCTTGTAGGTGATGAATGGTGGTCTCACTTCTTTCTGGTCCTTACAAACATGTGGCCGTCAAACGGTCGGCCACAACAGTCTCTCACTAGCTCCCTCTCGCGCTCCCCTTTCGTCCTCTAGTCCACCTTGACCACGCTGTAGATCTTATTTACAAACCAGAAGCAAGCAAAGAAGCCGATTGTACCTGAGAAGGGAAAAATACAAACAAAAAAAAACAAATTAACAGCAATATGCACTTCATCGTTTTTTTTTTTTACCACTTTAAAGGGTAGAAAATGGCTTGAGAACAAATATATGAACTCTCTCACGCTTGAACTATCTGAAATGGCAGGTACCATGCAACATTTTGTTGCCTCAGGGTTGAATAGCCGGTGTTTTTTTCTTTCTTTCTTAGACAACAACTGAACAGCCATTCATGTCTCAAGTGCTGGCAACAAAAACGAGTTCACCCCGAAGTGAAAATGCTGAAATCATAAAAAGTTATATAAAAAGTGACTTTTTGTACTTCTACATAAGAGGGTAAATTCACCGTCCCTTCGTAACAACATCAGTCTTTCGTGTATAAAGTATACTATACATACGATCGTCACAAAAATGTGAGGGGCATACTGCACTACCTTTTGTGAGATGCTGCATTTCCTTAACTTTTGCTTCTTGACAGCTAAAAAGATATTCGTGCAACACAAACTTTAGCCAAAAGACTGTATCTCCTAAGTCATTTTTTTTTACTCTTTCGAAAACATTAAGAAGTCAATCTTCTCTCTGCGAGCTTTGCAGTCCAAGGCTGAATTACTGTGAGATCAAAGTTGAGGATGGGATGAAAAAGATCAAAATAGAAATTGGGAAAATGGCAAAGGATTATTGAGCTCCAAAATGCGGCTTGGATTATTCTCCGGCGATAATATTTTGACATTTTGTCCCCCCTTGCGACTTTGCAGCCTCCTTCTTAAGATAACGTCAACGGTTGTAATTTTTTTTTTTTTTAATCTGGCCCAATAGTGATGCAAGTACAGCAGATCATCTTCCTCCATGTGACATTACAAGACATTACAAGTTAGTTTTGTATGATTTTCTCCATTTGTCAGGATCCAAGACTTCCTTTACATAAAATGGGAGATATTTATTCAATAGCATTTGTGAGTTGGTCCCAATTTGATCGTAGTTGTACTTTCACCCGGCTGGACAAATCAATCAAAAGTCAGCATTATTGTTTTTGTTATGGACAGCCTAAGATGAGAAGTGGCTCACGACTGTAAACGCATGACTGCTGCAAGTGAATGTGATTTTATCGGTGCTGACGGAAGAAAGAGCAAACAATAGAGCGCAGACTACTTCCTGGTGTTGTGTTTCTTCAAGACCAGGATGTGCTCACAACACACCCCCATTGGAATTTGACAAACACACTCTGCTGTGAGACTACATCAGGTGTGCCATGAGAAATTATCCCATTTTGCTTAAGGAGAGCAGAAAAATAGCTTCATGTGTGACAAGACGATCGAGGCTCACCTGTGAAGAGGAAGAAGATGAGGACCATGATCATGGTGTATCCGAAGTAGAGGAAGGTGCTGGCTGCGCCGATGATTTGCAGTTTGGAGAAGAAATAGTGCACAGCGTAAATGAAAAGATAGACCGCAGTGAAGCCGCTGGTCAGGAAGGAACGCCACCACCAGTGGTAGTCCTGCACACACGTGACACAAGAATGACAAGTCAGGATTCCAGAATAATCGCAAAGCTATTGTTTGACACGCAGTTGAAGTAATTACGACTCTGGCTCATTGATGCCCTGAGACTGTTTCACCGAACCCCTAGGGTTCGAGCAAACCCAGGTTAAGAACCACTGACACACACATACATACATATAATTGAAAATGTAATTATGACTTAGTTTTACATAATAAAAATAGTGAATTTTTACTCTATTCTTTCAGGCTGACATTGAAACTATTTTTTAATGCAAATTAGATGGTCACAACTGCCCAGTAAGATGCAGTAATAATATTTTTTCCACAGAGGATATAAAATAGGCATATGTGAGTTCAAATATGCGTTTCCCGAAGGCTTACAACACCAGGACACCATTGCGAGTTTTGTAGCTTTTCTATGGTGTTTTGGATGTTTTTTCTTTGCAGTGATGTCACCCATTTTTTTAGACGTTAGGTGATTCCAATAAACATGGAAATCTTTGTTTTACATTGGTTTGTATGGTAAACTCCAACTGGGAGTGGCAATTACCAACCTGAAGCATATTTTTTGAAGAACTGTTCAGTCAGCCAAACTACTCCTAGTTTTAAAGTATACTGGCACCATCTAGTGCTCGTATATGACATAATTGCAAGACGTCTGCAATTCAAGCTGAGCATCTACATTGCTATCGCACTTTGATTGTATTCTTCCACATCCAAAACTCATTTTCTTAATAATTCTGGACTGAAATGTATGTGACGGCACGGTACATTGCTTTAAAGGTACCTCAGCACATAAGTGGAAGTAGCAGAGCAGAATGGTGGCCTCGGAGCACGTGATGAGCAGAATGATGAACACCAGGAACAGGAAGCCAAACATGTAGTACATCTGGTGGGACCTAACAAATGCAACGTATTTGACGCAGCGTTCCCTTTTTCAAACGTGGTGAGAACTCCTGCTGTGCCTGCTTACCAAATGCTGTTGAGGATGAAGAAGAGTTGGATGAAGATGCAGCCAAAGGGCAGGATGCCACCCATGACGATGCCCGGTATGGGCTTCGTGAAGAACGACTGCTCGGGAATTTGACGTGGGATTTGATTCGTTCTCACTGGTTGCTCAATTGCCTATGTGGATGGCAAAAGAAGTGGGGGAAAAAAAGATCGCAAATAAGCACATAATTCTCTCAAGAATTTACAGTAGAAACATTTAAATGGCATGAAGGTTGTGTGTAGAGAGAGACAGAAAAGGCGTATTGGGCAAAGATGCAGATGCTTTTGTGATCACTCACATTCAATTCAAATGACCAGCATTTTTCAGAATGAAATTGATGGCACGAAATTCACGAAAATCATACCGAAAAAGCACAACTATTGTTTCCTCACAATGTATGCACTTGCTTTTTACTTCCGTTTGTCCCAGCTTTTACTTTGGGTGTATGTTTTGAATTTTATTCCATGAAACCATGACAGTGATTTGTCTCACAAACATTGACTGCTCAGCCAAGAAAACTGCTGACGATCATGCGAAAACAAATGAAACGCTTGCAGAGGGACAGAATGGGCAATCCGAACAACTTTGCTGCATTACTCTACTAGACAGCCAACGGAATTCTGGTTGTGATGATTGATTTAGGTAATAACTTACCATGTATTTGATGTAACAGAGTGCTTTCCTGTGTAAGTTAAGTGATCAAATCTGTGTTGTGGTCCTGAAATTGTTCATGCGTTATGGGACTCAATAACTGTAAGAACAACAAAAATATGACGAGGACCGTCATATTACGCCATTAATGCCTACATGTATTATTGTACCGTGTTACTTTTGTAATGCAACTGCATGTCCCAAACTCTGGGACGGGATACCGTTTCCTTCCAATTGGTGTCACTTCACAAGTAGGTTTCGCTGAAATCTGTCATAAGCCACAGCTTTGGTAGCCCATAAACCATTTAAAAAAAAAAAAAAAGACCATGCAGAGCAATGATATGGTAAAAAAGGTGGAGGAACCACTCAAATTAAACTTTGGTGTCCACTAGTGGGCCGCAAAATATCATCTTGCGGGCTGCAAATTGCCCCCAGGCAGCGAGTTTGAAACCAATTATCTAGACAAATAAAAAAATCGATCGTGGTGAACTTCCAATTTGAACCCGGAAATGATTATGTTTAAGTCGTCACCTTCGACAACAAAAAGCGGTCTCAACCGGTCTTCCAGAGTTTGTGTGAAGATGTGAAACTACAGTATATTTCCCATGATACGTACAGGCTTCTTGAATCCAAAGTAGGCACCGATGAAGGTAAGTGGCACAGAAATTCCAAACCACAGGGCCAGGATGGCCACAAGGGTCCCAAAGGGGATGGCTGCCGATGACCCCTCCACCCACAGGATCAGGTTCATCAGGAAGAAGTCAGCAAACACAATACTGCAGAAGAAGAGGTGGTGAGGGAATGAGTCCAGCACAGAGGAGACATTTTTAGTCAGGGAACAAACCCGGGGCACAGGAGCGCAGTCAATAGGACATTTGTCTTCCACTTCTCTCCTCCAAAAGCTGAAATAAAATAAAAGATCAGAACATCCCGATGAGAAGGGTCACAGCTTGACTTGTGTAAAGCTTCTTGTCAGCCATCTTACTTTTGTACAAGCGTGCCGAAACGTAGCCGGCGGGGGTGCCGAGCAGGACCCAGAGAACCACGGCGCACGTCATGAGTGCACCCCTGTTGGCCGGGGAGAGGAAGCCCAGGCAGGCCAGAACTAAAGAGGAAGCACAGTCCGTCGTTACATTCGCTTAATTGTACCCGGCCGGCACTATCAAGTTGCTTACTGTAGATCAAAAGAAAGAAAAAAAAAAAAAGTCTACACAGCCCTGCTCAAATGCCATTTTTTAATAGATAGAATTACTTCTAAAAAATATTAAACAGTGACAGCCCTAGTTGAAAACTTTATATATAACTGACGAAATGCTTCGGATTAGCGCATAACGATACCGGTACATGAACGGCCAAGTCAAATTTTTTTAACATAAAAACCAAGCATATGCTTGAAAACCAGGCTCAAATTTAGACCAAAAAAAAAAAAAAACACACAGTCACCTCACACAGCAAGGTCTCATGTCAAATTCTGACTTGTCTTTCTTGTCGTACCTGTTTGCCTCATAAATCATTTTCTATCTATTGCGTGATCTTACACAGCGTGATGAACGTCATGATGAAGATCTGCGTTCCCTGTCCGAGGAAAATGGAGAGCAGCATGCCTTTCCTGGGTGGGCGGAACACATCGCCGTGCACCTGCTTCCAGCCCGACTCCTCCTGTGCATCTTCCTGTAAAAGGGGAAAGCGAGACGGAAAATCAACAAAGCAGTCCATACGTGTGCGGTGAAAAGCTTACGTTTAACCAGCCACCACGCAGTGAGTTGTACCTGCTCGCTCAAAATTTGCTAGCGAAGCGACAAGAGGTGAACACAGAGCTGTAAAATTTGGTGTGCTTCCACTACGATCAGTCTGACCTTTGAAATTAATACATTTATACTCCTGCAGTCACACCACATTTTACATTCCCCTCTCGTGTGTCGGCTTGTGCTTCAATCTCACCCCAACACCTGATCGAAGGACCACAACAGTGTTTGCTTTTCAGCAGGCTTACATAAAAGGGAGTAGATTTCGCCTTGGTCGATGGAAGCTTTATCAAGTTTTCCTGCGAAATGTGACAACACGTTGATGGAGAAAGACAAACTTAATATTATCATGTTTCAAAGTTTCATTTCAGGATATGCTTGATTGACCTCGAACGCTATGTTCTCACAACTTGTACACAATGGAGCACACAGAAAAAAGGGCCAACTTGAGCTGAATGAAGCCAAGGCCTCATTAACTGATAATATAGACAGGAAGGTGCAACTTCAGGAGGGCAGCATGACAAGGTGTCCTTCAGTTTGTTACAGTGTCTCAATTCATGCGAAATCTACCCATTGTATTAACAAGGTATCCATTGTTTGCACCAGAAGATGTTTTGGCCTCCAGGTGTCCACTGAGGGACATATCGGTGGGCTGGGCTGGGAAGCGCGACATGCAAATAAGGAGGAATATTTTTCTGATATGTTACTTGTATTTTGTATATCCTGTGAATAAAAAGTGCTCAGCGGAGGTGCGAAGGTGGGGTTTCGATCTGAGAGGAAACACGACTTGTGTTGCCTTCAAGGAACTTCGCCTCCTTTGCTGATCAGCAAAAGACATCTGTTCCTGAGTTGAGTCGAGTCTTTTCATTCAAAGTTCAAGATATTCGGGTGAATTCCCTGACACACGTTCAGGGCTCAAAGGTATTTCATTTCACACTGTAGAATTCAGTGATAAACAGGGGGGAATCCTTCACCCTCAAGAGATGAAGGGTTTTCAGGCTACCACCAATTAAAATACTATTTAAAATGTAACAAGTTTTTGCTTTGATATTTACTCTTTCAACTATACGATGACATTATCTATACCAAATAAGGAATAATTTTGATTCCAACTTTAGTCACCGGAAGATCCTTTATCTGCCTTCGCCATTTACACAGAACCCAGCAAATGTCATGGGGCTACTTGCGGCAAGTGCTTTGACATTGAGACAGAGCACTCTGCAATCGGATAATTACGTGAGATGACAACAGCGCCACCGTTCCAACTTTTTCCCAAATGCGGACTATCGCTCAACCACTTGTTGTCTATAGAGTTGGGGAAATTTTTTTGACTTACAAACGTTAAACGGTGACACTGAAGTTCACAACAAACAGCAGATTAAAAAAAAAAAAAGACAAAAAAAAAACCCAGGTGCTTGCTGTCTATTGCCAATTCGAGTTGAAGCTGAAACATAAAACAAAGAACTCCAAGTGTACTTCACCAAATTGACTAACTTTGAAAAATCTTGTCAGCTTACTGCTAATGCACAATGCAAAACGGCTTTCATTGTATAGCCCGGTAATCCTAGAAAGGGGATCTCCCATTTGCGGCCCCTTCTCAACGTTTCACTTGAATCTTCAATAATTACGGGGGTGGTCTGCAACATAAGCCCCACGATGGTATCCGATTGTGGAATACAGTATGAAACTACACACACAGCGTCAATATCTCGCTTTGCTGAGTTCTGTGTAAAAGGCAATGGCGGCTAATGCTCAATCTTCTGTTGCGGCAAGTCAATTCTGTTTCAAGAGGCTCATGTAAGCTTTCAGGAGTCAGCCAATTTGCGTACACCTTCGCTAACCTGTTTGTGACGATCATGCACATGGAGAGTGTGGATGTTGCTTGTACCTGGTCGACCTGGTTGTATCTGGCAATGTCCTTGTGCAGCGTTCTGAGCATGATCATGGCTACCATGCCGGACAGGAAGAGCACGATGACTAAGGAGTTCATGATACTAAAGACCAAGACATACATAAATATGCGTTAGCGCCTGCTGATAAAAAAAATAAAAATAAAAAAAAAACGTGTGTAAATATGAATGTGAAACAAGCGCTCCTACCTAAACCACTGGATATTTGTATGTGGCATAGACACCAGGATGTAGTCCCACCTGGACGCCCATTTGATCAAGTTGTTTTCCTGTAGAAGGAGGTGAAAAGTTCAATGATAGTAATCGTATATTATAATACACGTGTCTTAGATGAATACAAAGACTTACTTCAAACGTGACTGAGTAGGTGTAAACGATGGACACGTCATTATTGAACTGGCTAGGCACCTCCATCGGGGCAGTGCTTTCGCAGTTTGGGGTCTTCTCATCTGCATGGTTGATACTATTGTGGTGGAGGAAGGGCACAAAGCATGTCCAAATATATTCCTACTAATGCAGCTCTAAGGTTTAAAACAATCTTTGATCTCTTTCATCTCAAACTGCTTTAAACAAAGCGTATGAGGGAAAAGTGGTTCGGACTGCACGACTGTCCGTGTTTTATGTTATGTGTTGTTGTTTATTATTTTACTTTACATTAACTGTTGACTTAAGCGCTTTGTTACAGCTGCCGCTGTTGTGAAAGCGCTATATAAATCACCATGTATTGTATTGTAATCGAAAGATACACTGGAAAACAACAAGGGAAATCCAACGAGTATTGTTAGCGGGAAAAAAATGCCTGGAAAGCCACATAAAACCACCTTTAACAGATCTACCCTTGAAACCCACATAAATTCAAATTTTAATCTTGTGAGAAAGTGAACATTAACGGTTACCTTCATTGGGCCCATATTAAGCACTGCTTGCAAAGAAAAATCGGAAGTAGCCTGGTGCCTTTTCCCGGTGATGTGAGCATCAAGTAGTTACAACAGAAAGAGCTGACATTTTTAACGGTAAAAGCAAGATTGCAATTGAGTTTCCAAACATATATTCTACAGTGAATGCATGTTTTATGATGGCAAATGTTCTCTTCCAAAGGAGATTATTTTTATTTGTATTGTTTCCTAACATGGAAAACGCTTTTAAAAATTAAACAAATCGGCATAATTGTCCCCAAATGGATCCCGCTCGCCCTTGATGGTTGTAGTGTATATGCAACCGTCGTCAATGCTTACCTCTTGGGCTCCAGTGTGGCAGCAACCAGCCGAGCTCCTGCCCACCCGTCAGCGGCTCCGTTGTGGTAAAAGATCTTGATGTCAACGTGGTTGAAAACGTAAAATGTCTTCTTCTTGTTGAACTCAGCCTGGGGAGGGAAAAAAAAAATGTCGAAAGATTACAAGGCTACATATTTCAAAGAACTTCAACACACAGTGTCAAAAAATACTTCTTGGTGTTATTTTGTGTACCGATTTAAACAGAATTTCAGAAATGGTGGTCACAGCTTACATTAATAACACAAGCATCCTTAGGTCGGCCGTCAGAAGTAACAAGGCAACCAATGGGGAAACCCGGGTTGCAGTATTTCTGGTTGTCTTCGACCTCATAGCACCACGTGACAGGCATATTGTCGATGATCCTGAAACAACAGCAAGCGGCACTCAAACACCAAACTTTTTTTTTTTTGTTATGACCCTAAGCAAACAAAGTATCGAGATAAGCTCAGCTAAACTGTGACCAAGCCAACCAGTGATGCTGATAGTTGAGCTGCATTCCCATTTTGATGAAATCCAGTCGGGTAGCGTCCTGTTGGCTGTCCTTCTTGTACGTTTTGGTGCACACCGCCTTGCACTTCACATCTTGTTTGAAGTTAAACTGCGAAAAGAGGGGAAAGCGCCCATGTTGAATCAGCAATCCATTTCTGACTGGACACAAGAGAAATGAATGCGCATCTAAAATAAGCAACACAATTACACATGCTTTGTTTTCGCATGACACCTACTTTGTACGGCGAGGACTCGATACGTTCGCCAAACAACACCTGTCCCAGATTCTCCGAAGGCCTCTTTTCCTTTTCATCCTTGCAAAAGTCGAATCTTGAATAAATGTAAAACATACAATTAGCACAGGCACACTCCTTTGGACAGTGGGTGCTCAAAAAGTTGGAGAAAGAGTCACTTACACGTCATATTCATAAGGCAGGACGGACTCGACTGAATCCAAGCGATTGACAAACAGCTCTATCTGTGTCTGCAGGCAAGAAAAACGTGTGTATCAGAGTAATTTGGCAAGAATGAAATATATAAAGGAAAAGATCAGGTTGCCAAACATTTTGGCTAAAGTTTTGTTTGTAAATTACTTGTATAACTAAACTGCATTTACAAAATAGTTAAAGGTAACAAGCCATGTAGATCAGCTCTTTATCCCATTTAAGGGAAGAGAAAGAAACTTAATCTCACTGAACATTTTGGTTCTGATAGAGTAGTTTTGAAACAAATTATTCAATCACATTCATGAGCAGTCTGTGTTCAAAGGGAGTTTTCAATTATATCTTAGCAGTGACATTTCTTTAAACTTTAATGACTTTAGTGATTTTTAAGCAATAATTTGTCTTTATGGCACATGGCACAATAATACAATCAAACATTAATGGTAAAGTTAAATATTGAAAGAAAACTGGGGGGGGGGCGTACATGAACTGTACCTAAATACTGTACAACTGTATTGTACTTAGAAAGTGAGAATCACTCAAACTCGTCACAATTATTACCATGAACAATTTCGATAATCAAGACAAGAACTATTTTGCGTTCTGTGTAACTGTTTTTAATGTTGCTGGTCTTTATCTTAGTCTTCTCGATATCATTGAAAACGAGCGCTTTCCTAAATGAGCCTTCGAGGTTTAAATAAAGCTTTGAAATGAAATTAAACGGAATGGTTAAATACAAATTGGGACTGATTCAGTACTGCTTTGTTTCTCGTAGTGTAAATCGAAGCAGACTTCCATCATGGATCTCATGGGTGCTTTTTAGACACGTATTGTTATCAGTTCGGCGGATTTGCTCACGACATAAAGGATTCAGAATTTCGCTGAAATACACGTCAGGGTGGAAAAAGTGCAACAAACCCAGCTAGCAGCAAGGGACACAACAATGCTCATGCTGTTTGCAGCCGATAATCGGGGCCTTGAGGAAAGGCTAACGTTAGCTAGCAACGTAAACATTGAAACCAAACATAGGCAAAGGCGCCGAATTCGGCGGAAAATCCACTGCATCGTTACCGAAACGAGAGATTGATCACTTCTTTCCTACCTGGCAATCTGAATCACCTTTGCCGACTTCGCAAAAACTAACTGGGGCTAAACCCGGAAGATAGAACGCCGAGCACGGGCAGAAACGTGAGACGAAAAAGAAAAGCAGCCAATAACCAAATTCTATTCGCCGTCTCATTTTATGTGCGAGTCGTCAAGTTTCGAGCCTGCGTCAAAAGGGAATGTATCTTGTCCGAAAAAAGGGTGCGCTGGTGGAACAAGGATAGCTGGTTCTTGTACGCAGCGACGTCAGCAAAAGCTGCGCTCAGTTTCCGCCTTGCCTCACTCTGTCCTGTCTGCCTCAAACTCAACCAACGGTGACGTTTCACTATTGCACGTGACGCGGAAACGATGCGCTCAACACAAAAGCTGGCGTCGCGGAATTCACAATAAAAGTCATAAAAGTCACTCGCGATTTCTTCGATCATCATTTGACAATCAAAAGGCACCTCACCAATATCATACATTTTTATATAACTGTCTTTTTTCTTTTCTTCCATTCCTTTTTATTAAAAGTAGAAAATTACCATTGAAAAAAGTTGAAAACCACTGCTGAAGAGAATTTCGCTATAAAATAACAGTAAAGTAATGTTATTTTAAAATCCACTTAATATAATCTATTTTAACAGTAACAATATTGTACAGTATTTTAATTGTTACAATTGTATTGTTTTGTTGTTTCTAATGATTTTTTTCTTTAAAAAGTACTGCATTGCGGTCGAATTCGATGTGTGTTAATGTGTAGCACTTTCAACCGTGGTTGTTCTTGATTTGTCATAAATAAAATTGCGTTGAGTTGCATAATAAAATATATATTTACCCATTTATTTTCCGCACTTAATCTCAATTTTTTTAAAACGAGTTAACTCACTCGAGCTCTCAGTGGCTCAAATCGGAAAGAATAATTAAATTGACAGATGCTGTTGTCTTCCTCTTTTCCACATGCCAATAAAGTAGGTGGCAGTAATGGGCCTGTATGCTGGTTGCCACACGCCAATCAAATCCAAACAGGAAGAAGACAGCGAAGAAGAAGAAGGGGTGGAGCCTGAATTCGCTTGTTGAAAAGCGTTCTTTTCTCTTTTGTGGCGCCTTTCGCCTTTTTGTGCCACATCAACATTAAGAGGACTCATACCGAGGTATTGTGTCTTCCTTTATAACATCCTGAGTGGCCGACGGAAAGCTATCTTCTTGTTGTTTACAATCAAACGCCCGCTTCGTTTCGCGCCTCGAGTAACGAACGCGCTGCAGCTGGGGTGGGGGGCACTGTTATCGCCATTTTGCTTCCTCAACAACCCAAGCAAGGTAGGTTACGCCTCGTGTCTCATTATTTACATATTATGGCGCACGCTTCTTTAAAAGAAAAAAATGTTTTCAATTCCTGAGACAATTTTGTTTATAGAAGTTGATTTTTGTGCAGCATGGCAGAGGCAGACCGACCAGGCAAGCTGTTTATCGGCGGGCTGAATACCGAGACCACCGAGAAGGCCTTGGAGCAGTACTTCAGCAAATATGGCAGGATTGTTCAAGGTGAGGATAGATGTTTCTTAGCTTTATCATCCGTTCACAACAGCCACCTTATCATTTTAGGGTACATCTTATTGCTACAGCGTGAAGTATTGAAGAAGCGTCCCGCGTGCGAGCACAGCATGAGCACCACGATTGCGCTTAGCTGGCTGAGTTTTAACTTGTATTAAGGGGTTAAAAAACATGGTTACTGAATGCAAGGAGTAGACATGACAGGGTCCTTATAAGTCAAGAGTGACATAAATTTGGCCAACCATCTTTTGAGTAAAAGCTACAGCTAAGACAATTTCAAGCATAGTTTCGTTAGTTTTTTTTAACGTAACCCACCCAGATCCATAGGTAGACGCATCGTAACGCACTTAACAACGAAAATACTTTTGTTCGGCAATCTCCGGCGAGTGACGCCATTTACAGAATGCAAAGTGCCAGTAAGCCATTGTACTGCATTGTTGTTGATTGTTCCGTGAACTGCTCTTTGCCATTGGTATTGAGTTGTTTGACGAAATGTCTCGTGCTGTGTAGCGATGCCCTGTTCACATTCGGGGCAAACAGTTGTTTGAGTGGCCAAAAGAAAAGTATAGGGTGCGTGAATACTGTAGGCCAGAAAATTGGAACGACACAGTTTCGTTCTCCCAAGCGAATGAATTTTATGCCGGTGTCAGCGAGCATTCTTGTAACAAGCGTTTGGAGGACCTCTGTTTTCTTAACCATATTTGCAAAAAAGGGTAGGTGCGCTATCTTCAATTAGTAACTCTGGCTGTTGTTTTTAAAAACATTTGATTAAAAGTATTATACATGTACATGAGAGGGGACTACAGGAATCTGGCAGGCTGAAATTTGGAGGCTCTGCATGATTTTAAGTTGAACAGTCTCTATCTGGACCATTGATTCCCAGCCAGTGTGCCGGGGCGCATTAGTGTGCCATGAGAACTATAACGGTATGCCGCGGACCAAATTGGTGACAAAAATATTTATTAATAACAAATAATGGATCTTTGTCCCTCTATCTATGCCAGAAACCTATAGTGACAGAAAGAATAAATAAATGATCTTCTATTAGATGGCAAAAAAGATGAAATTGACATACATCCTCTTTTTGTGACGATTTTGTTTGGTGGTGTGCTGTGCGATTATTTTTTTTCCCAACTTAAAATGTGTGCCTTGGCTCAATAAAGGTTGGGGTTCGCTGCTGTAGACAATTAGTGATCAAAATAGTTGATTAATTTAATAAGTTGTTGTTTAGTTGTTGCATCTCAGAAAAAGAGAATAGAAAATGTAATTCATTTTCATTCATGACTCCTAATATACTTAATGATGACAATTATTGTTATTTTGGAAAATGTGGGACACGTGTGTGTGCGTGCGCGTGTGCGTGTGCGCTATCTATCTATCTATCAAGATAGATAGACAAATTTTGATTTGAGGTTAACTGAAGGCGTACCCCAGTAATGTACTTACTCGATTTTCCTCTGTTTCCAGTTCTTTTGATGAAAGACCGTGAAACAAACAAGTCAAGGGGTTTTGCATTTGTGACATATGATAGTCCAGCCGATGCAAAGGATGCTGCACGTGAGATGAATGGAAAGGTATGGATTTTTCCAAAAAGTAATAATAACTCATGCATTCTCGTGATATATAAAAAATGATGTTTACAATTGGTGCTCTCATTTTTTATGTACTACATAGTCTCTTGATGGCAAGGCCATCAAAGTGGAGCAGGCTACCAAGCCTAATTATGACAATGGTGGTAGACGAGGACCCCCACCCATGCACTCTCGCAGCCGTGGCCCACCCAGGGGCCTCCGTGGATCAAGGGGAGGTGGGATGAGAGGCCCATCCAGAGGTAAATCTTCATTTGTAGACTTTGGAATGGGATATCAATATCGGTCAATGTATGTCTTTTTTTGTTTTCTGTTGCGCTTGCAGATTACTATGATGATGACGACGACGAACCCTTCTTTAAGGGGATGTCATCAAGAGGCCCCCCGCCAATGAAGAGAGGACCCCCAATGCGCAATGGAGGCCCCCCACCCAAGAGATCTGCCCCATCTGGTCCAATGAACAGACGTAAGTTTTGTCCTATGTCCTCTATTGGTAACGATTATTTTAATAATCAATCGTCAGAGCATTTGATCATGTTGATCATTTTCTGATGACAAGGAGATATTTATCCAATTTAAAGCTGATCAGTTTGCGTTCTTGGAGAAAAAAAATATGGAGTGTTAAATTAGATTTCCAGGGATTTGGATAATTTTAGGTAAAAAACAAAATATTTATATTAATATTTGTATTTATTACATTGTTAAATGATGACTTGCTTCTTCGTCGTCGCAATCCAAATATTTTATTTTAATGACAAAATGTTCATGTCATCACTTTGCTTTTCAGCCCCAATGTCAAGGGACAGGGACCCCTATGGTCCACCCCCTCGCAGAGACTCCATGATGTCCAGAAGGGATGACTATCCATCACCGAGAGATGACCACTACTCAAAGGATGGGTAGGGCACTTAAAATCGAATATCCACTTGTGTTTTTATTTTTTTGTACTGTTTATCCATAATCTCTTCATAGTAATATGTCCTAATTATATTTGTAGCCTAATGCATTGCACCACATGTAGCTAGAAAGAATCAATCGTTTAAAATGCTCTTCAGTTTAAATTACCAGTATGAATCTGATTCATCTTTTGACAGCTACTCCAGCCGAGATTATAACTCAAGAGATTCAAGGGACTATGGTCCGCCTCCCAGGGATTATTCATACCGCGATTACTCCAGTTCCCGGGACGACTACGGCTCAATGTCAAGGGGTTACAAGTAAGTGTGCTTGCCGTTTGAACGACTTTTTATCGTACGCCGTTTTATTTATTTATTTTTTTTTTTGTTTGTTTGTTTTTGTGGGCTATTATGTTTTGTAAGCCGTTTTATTTATTTATTTATCTTTTTTGTTTGTTTGTTTTTGTGGGCTATTATGTTTGGAAAGTCAGATTGATTAATTAATAATGTCATTGATTTTCCAGCAGAGTACATGAGTCCCCGACCTTTTGTTTGCACAATGGACGACATTAAAAAACAAATGAGCACTATGCTCAATATAGTTGCTTTAATTAACGGGGGTCCTGTGGATGGTTTTCTCCACGAACCAGTTCCGTAGCATAACATGTTGTAAGACGGGTCATCATAGGGAGGGTCCCAAAATAAAGATTTCTCTTCACTTTCTATTTCACTTGTGCTGTTATTGCATGTTAGGATATATTTTGAAAGCGACCATACTACAACTCATTTATGTTGAAAATAGCATAAGACAGCTGTACTGCGACACAAGTGTTGAAATATTGGTGCGTGTTCTGTCACTATAGTTGTGCAGCAGAAGGGCACGTTGAAATTCCTCTGTAGATTGTCTCGCTGGAAGAGAAGATGTCAGAAAGCGAAGATCAGTCAACACCATGCTTTAAATGTTGACGCACAATGTAAAGTCGACTAACCGGTTTAGCCCACCAGTTAGGGTGCCTCGCAAAGGTTCATCCTTGCACCTCACACAATCACCAAAGTCACTTTTTGTCCTAATTGCAGTGACCGTGATGGCTATGGTGGAGGACGAGATTCCAGAAACTACATGGACCGTTCGAGTGGTGGCGGCGGAGGCGGCGGCTCATACCGAGACTCGTTTGATGGTTACGGTAAGATATTTCTATCCAGGTGTAAGACGAAACAACAGGCACGAAGAGGAGCTGAATACTTACCCAACCCTTGTTTCCATGAAAGAACCACCCAAAGGAAACAACTTTTGAAATGTTCTCAGACCCTTTGCTGCTGCCAACAAACATTTTTTTTCCCTCAGCTATTAATTTGATCAAGCATTGGCATCTGTTTGTCCAATTCCTATTACCGCTGCATTCTTCAAAAGATAAATGTGCCTCAGAAATGTTGTTAATAAGGCCAGAGTTGACCACCATAAGGAGCCAGAAACAGTCCTTGGAAACCGCAGAACAGAACGTGTTGCCCAACAAAAAGCTCTCCCTCAAGGAGTTTCCTTCAAATAACCATCAAGACTACTCTGAAAACTTGGAGCTCTAAAAAGGAGAAGTGTCCTCAGAAATCAATGGCATGTTGAAACCAATAACTCGAGTACTCCATGTGGCTGGATCTTAACTGCCCCCAAATGTCTGCAATGACCGTGTTCAATTTAGAACTACCATCAGCACCACCACCAGATGGTAGATGTAAATGCAACCATCTGTTCAATTAGCGCATCACAGAATTCAATGTACTGGCAAAGAAAGAGAAGCAAACCTGCAAGAACAACAGAAAATGTCAATTGTATCTTGCCAATTACCTGCCCCGTTGACCCTGCAGGTAACTCTCGCAGCGCCCCACCTTCACGGGGCCCCCCACCGTCCTTCGGTGGGGGCAGTGGAAGTGGTCGTTACGACGACTATGGCGGCAGTTCCCGGGATGGCTATGGCGGGCGCGACAGTTACAGCAGTCGGAGTGAGCCGTACCCATCTCCCCGTGGCGAGCGCATGGGTAGGCAGGAGAGGGCTCCTCCCCCTGGCGAGAGAGGATACCCTCCTCGCGATTCGTACGGCTCAAGCCGCGGAGGGCCACGGGGCGGCCGTGGAGGCAGTCGACCCGACAGAGGCATGCCTCGCAACAGATATTAGAATGGACATGGAAGTCTCGCTGAAGCAGATGGAAGTATTCTTGCAGCGTTCAAAGCTTTGTGGGAGAAGCCTGACAAAAGCAAAACAAAATCCCACCATGTCTAAATCTGTGGATTGCGTTTTAGCTTTAAATTGTACCTAGTTTTCCAAATTTTCATGTGTTCACTTTTTTTTTTTTTTTAATATATCTTTCTCATGTGACGGTACAGTTACCGAGGGTTTTTTTTTTTATACACGTTCAGTGCTGCTGGAATCTGCAATGCCCTATAAGTTTGGCTTTCCGACTCTAATAAAAGTTATTAGTTGTACCCTGACCACTCTGAGCATCAATACTCCAACAAGACCAAACGCCTGGATGTGATTTTAAAAAAAAACAACAGCATTGTGTAGAAGTTCTCTGTAAAGTTTAGCTGGTGAGTCTCTGCTCTGGACCTTCACTCAAAAGAGAAACTCGTCACTGTTGTGTTCAAAGGGTTAGGCAAATGTCACTGTCGAAATGTTCCAATGTAGTTCCCTCTGAAATGGATCCGTCATCCTAGAGCCATTCGCTGGCACGCTACGACAAAACCAAAGGCAAGAGCAACCAAATGCAAGCTTCTATCCTACAAGAACCATAGGCAGCTGCTGGTAAGCAAAGCAACCCTCTTCTGTTTCACATCTGTAAATGCCTTTCATTGTTCCTGTATTGCACTGAATTCAAGACACTAGGGCTTCAAAGGACTACAAAAAAAAGAATGGATTTCAACTTGAATGCGCCTTGATATTTGTAGCTACATTTGGCAAAACTGGAATGAGCTCCGAGGCAAGCTAAGACCTTTTGTCCCTTGCCCGCAACGAACCTATTTTTTTTTTTTTTTTTTGCAAGCTGAACCCTGAAAACGGAGATCCTTTTTATACTTGTCTAATCCAAGTACTAGTCAAAAGTAAGCAAGGTTGGCATAAATGCTTGCAATACTCTAGGCAAAACAGTTTCCAAGGCTGTCTTTGTCACTGTAAAATTGCAATAAAATGAACGTCCATTGTCAGTCTCAAAACCTTTTCCTCAAACAAAAAGGAGACCTCTGGAAGACCACCGCCACTGCCACCACCCAACTGGAAACAATCGTTCAAGTGAAAGGCAGTCGGACCAAGGACTTTAAAGTTTTTTTGTTTTTTTTTTTGTGTGTGTGTGCATGTTTTAATGAATACACAAAGAGAAGGGCGGAGGTTAATTTTGTTCTGTCATTGCAGGATGAACACTGGACGGCAAACAAACCTCGATACACACTGCAACTCTGTCCGTTGGTACTCCCGTCGGACCAGTAGGCCGATGATGAATACGTCCCAATCCGTGGAGGTTGTGAGACTATTCAATTTGTTTGGGTAGTCCAAATCTGTCTGTGCATTGATGCTTTGAATGCTTGTTGTCCTTTAGTGTCTGCCACAGCCCTGCGACAACTCCGTGAAAGACTGCTGGATAATGAGAAGAGGCTGGGTGTTGGGCTCAAAATGTACTTTTTAATAAATGGCAAAAAAAAAAAAGCTACTCTGTTGAGTGTGTCGTCATCAAAGACTGAAAGAAATGAGCTTCAAAACTGAAGTTCTATTCCAGTACAAACACATTACCTGTACCTTCCTCAATAAATGACTCCCTCTCCAATAATTCAGCATGTCCCAAGTGAAGATGATAAAAGGGAAATGCAAAAGGCCACATTAAGAATTCAGTGGTTAACCACCACAGCCAAATGTTTAGAATCGGTCAGGACTTCTGATTGTTTTGCTTCCAGAAAACGCCGTTTTCACATTTCGGGCTATAACCACATTTCGGGCTATAACGTTTCGATAAAATCAAAACTTCTAGGGAAACCGTGACACCTTTGAAATGGCAGAGCTGTGATATGCCCCTTCCGCCTCCCGCAGTTTGTGTCTCCCGATAACATTTACGTAAATGGACTTTGAATGCTACCAAACTTAATAGTATTGGGTTGATAAAAAATAAAAACCTAGATTGAAGTTATATAGTTTCTTCAGCTATCACCTGAACGGCTTACCGTGAGTGCTTTTTCCCATGACTTATCTGACCAGAGTTCGCGAAACTGGCTATCACAAATCTAGTTCTGCTCTACAAAGTAAATTGCGGACCCTCTGAGCTCGTTTAGTTTACAGGGCACAACCTCAAAATTTTTGTCAAAACTACAGCTAGCCTATCCTTTGACAATTTAAAACAGGGTTGTCACTCATTTTTGTCGCGGGCCACATTGTAGTTATGGTTTCCTTTGGAGGGCTGTTGTGAATTTTGGGAACCCATATCAATGTTTTTCACCTCATATTACATGTACAGCACACAACAAATTGATGGATAACTAGTTTTAAAATCAGAAGTCAAGAATAATGACTGTTTGTGGATTACATATGACAATTTGAAATTTTGGTTCAGACTTTAGCAAGCACCATGGAACTTGACATGCTTGATTTGCTTTCGTGGGCCACATAAATTGATGTGGCGGGCCAGACCTGCCCCCCAGGCCGTAGCTTTGACACCTGTGATTTAAAATATATTTTACAGAATGGGTTGATGAGGGACCTATATATTCATGCAAATGTTTACACGTATAAACTTTTGCATTCAATAGTGGTCTCTTGTTGCAGATTACCTTAAAACTACATATAGGACTGGATCTGGTGTGCAGGCCTTGAATTTGAAGTCAGGTCTCTGGCCAATGTATATTGCCAAAAAAAAAAAAAATCCATTGAGGCTTTTTGGGGTAGTAGGGTGGTACAGATTTATGTTTCTGCTGGGATAGGGAGCTCAAGGTTATAATTCAGATATGACTGAAATTGGATTGCTAGTTGGATTGAGTCTTCTGAAACGAATGCAAAGCTAGTCAAAGAGAAGGGGGAAATATGAGCTCACACTTGACAGACACCGTTGAGGAGGCTTGGTTGGAATCTTTTTTGTTTTTGCAAAATATGCTGATACATACAGATTCGCTTCCTAGTCACTGTGACAATTTCGGAGAGGAAGACGGCAGCAAACACTACTACAGACTGCATAGTGGTGCCTTGATTTAAGAATGACCCCCAATTGGTTTTTCGAGGCACACGCTGTTGCATTTTTTTGGGGGGGGTGGGGGTCTATATGTCATGAGCCAAAATTTGATACAAGCTTGAGATGGTTCACCTCACGAGTGACTGTAATCATTAGTTTGCTGCAGTTCTGTGCCAAGTCCTGTTAAGCATAGGACTGGCAGTGTCTGTCATATACTATCCGAACCGACAGTGTTGGAATTTAGAGACCGAGTGCTATTTGTGGTTTGTGGTGGCAGCTAGCCATCCAGCGCGAATACACTTGCACACATGACTGGGGCTCTCCTCTGTGCATGTAGTGTTGAATGAGTCAAGTTGTTGAACAGATGTACGAGGTGTGACAGAAAAGTTCAAAGACTGGCGTCACACAAGTCCAACTTTGAGTTTTCCATTTCAATGTGGGCCAGATGCTTAGCAAGCACTTCCACAAAGAGATTCTGCTGCGTTTGCTTTGCTTAGTACGCGAGAATTGTGGCCTTTACTAGCGCATGCTAACAATCCCTTGAGCATCTGATAGTTCCTGGCCGAGAACAACATGGCCGTGATGGAGCAACCTCCCTCACTGGGTCAGTGAGATATATTGTTCCTCTTTCCCAAGCTCAAGGGAGTCACAAAGGGGTCCTACTTTGAAGATCTGGACATCATCAAGATGGACATGACCATGGAGCTGTGAATGATCCTGGAAGAATACCTCGAGGAATGTGTGAAGGTGTGGCAATGAAGGCTGGGAAAGTGCTTTCGGCCTGGTCTTATTTTTTTTTAATCTTCAAAGATTTTTTTTTAATCGTGACAGACACAGCACATAACGGCAGAAAATCAGATATTTTAACAGTTTTGGTCTTTGTGTGTGGCCTGCTCCAATCATCTCAACGCAAATAAAGTTTCTGCTCTCGCGTGATCACACATCAACATGAAGACGAGCAGACACTGGATGTCGCTGACGATGGTTGCCGAGTATTTCCACAGAGGACTGAAGGCAACAGCGTTATAAAATGGCGATGTCGGCAAGACAAAACTTTTATTTGGAAAATAATCCCTGCTGTCAGGCGAAGTCACTTTTATGTAATAGACAACACCGGTTAAGACAGACCCTTTTATTTACCGGTGCTTCCTTGAAGGTCAGTTCGTGTGTTTCTTTGATTGACTACATTTCGTAAGACGTGAATTTCGCATCTTGGGTTTGACATATTCAATGTTAATATAAATGAATGGTTATACAGTATATGAAAGCAAACAAGCAACTCTAGTTTCCGACACCTAATAGCTCGTCTGTGGGTTCGTAATGCACAGATTGGTTCACTTCTGTCTCCTGCTTTGTTTGAGCACTGACTCCCATCCCTCTATCTCCGCCGGGATGCATTCGGCTGCACGTTTCGTCCTGGCATTCGCAGCTGTACTGTTGCGAACAGTCAAACAGCGCCGACATTCTCCATTCATGAAAAACGGGGCTGTGGCCCAAAACAAGTGCTGATACTCTCCTCTCATTAATGTCATGTCCAAAAATGAGGAAAACTGTCCATAATGGGTTTACAAGACGCATAACGAACGGCGAATGGCTAAAAAGGCGGAAAAATAGAGATGAAAGAAAAATGATCTGAGCTCGTGTAAACAAACTGCCAATTTAAAGGCACAATCTTTGATCTGTTGTGACTTTCGGTTAGTCGCAATATCCTGCAGAAATGGGGGCGGATTATTTTATAAGGAAAGCGCTGCTGTACTTGGCAGTGCACTTCTGCTGCTGTCTATTGTTGAGGTGTCTGCTTACCAGCAGGGGTGATCATCATTTTTGGCATGTAGTAACACAGCCGGCCCCTACCCCCACCCCTCTGACGCCTTTTGCCGAACTTCAAGCAGAAGTACGGGGTTTCGAGGTGCACTGCACGCCGATCGGGAACCTGACCAGCGGAGGGAGGAGGAGGCGGACAACCGTCGCCAAGGCAATGCCCGTTTGACGGCGCCATGAACCCCGAGGAGCAGACCGTAACGTGGTTGATATCGCTGGGAGTGCTTGGCTCCCCCAAGAAGAACATCGCTGACCCGGAGGAATTCTTGAAAGCCTCGCTGAAGGATGGCCTCGTACTATGCAAGCTGGTCGAAAAGCTTGTGCCCGGTTTCAGTGCCAAGGTAGAGAAGTTAAAAAAAAAAAAGTTGACATCATGTGGTCCGACAGTAGACACGAAGGGAGGGATTTGATATCCACACAGACGCACAGGCATCGTACTATGCAAGCTGGTCGAAAAGTTTGTGCCCGGTTTCAGTGCCAAGGTAGAGAAGTTTGAAAAAAAAAAAGTTGACATAATGTGGTCCGACAGTAGACACAAAGGGAGGGATTTGATATCCACACAGACGCACAGGCCGCCCATTTTAAAAGTTGCAACGACATTTTTGCTTTTAATGACGTCGCCAATGTTTATGATACGAGGCTAATGGGCAATATTTGCTGTACTATTGCCAAGAAATACTTTGATAATGTTCCGCATTCTCGACGCTTATGCAGCGGTGGAAGCAGAAACGGGAAGAACCTTCGCTTTGCCAAATACAGTTAAACACCATCAAATGTATAGGTAGTAGGTTTTATTAAAGTTAATGGGGGATATTTCAGACTTAAAATACCAATAGATGGTAAAGTTGATAAGTTTGCAGGCAGGGTTCGTCACTTCCTCCTCGAAGGCTCTTCCCGGTTGCTTGCTTCGACCTCTTTTTTTTTGTAAAGTTGGCGGCAAGCAGGAAGATTGTGTAGAACAATAATACCGGAAATAGCTCTCATGTTTTGGTTTTCTATATATTTCCGTATAAGCGGTAGAAGATGGATACATTTTATTGCACATTAAACGGACAGTATACCAACCATAAGCACAGGGAAGTATTAGTAAGAAGAATAACCGCACTTCACGCATTCGCAGGCAACTATTAAAAAGTACCAAAAGTAACCGTGTCAAACAGAAAGTGTAGAACAATAATACCGGAAATCGCTCTCATGTTTTGGTTTTCTATATATTTCCGAATAAGCGGTAGAAGGTGGATACATTTTATTGCACATTAAACGGACAGTATACCAACCATAAGCACAGGGAAGTATTAGTCAGAAGAATAACCGAACTTCATGCATTCTCAGGCAACTATTAAAAAGTACCAAAAGTAACCGTGTGAAATGTAGGTTTATGATGAAGTTTTCTTGCAGCGATTGTCCCACACCTCTCGCCGTTGGCCTATCGTTTGCGGTATAATTGAATCTAGAGCGCGACATCTCGCTTTTCAATCAGCAACGGAACTTTATTTGTCTTTTATTTCGAAAGTTGTATAAATAAGCGGAAATTTATACATCGGCGCATGCTTGACGCTGATGTCATTAATAGCTATGTTTCAACGAAGAGGACGCGGATTGACTCCATATTTCATAAACTCCCATTCTTGCGACCACTTCAGACTATACTATAGTGGCGTTAGCTTCGAGTCGGCGTGTTTAAAAAAAGTATTGCTTGGCCTTCGTGCTCGAACATGCTATTTTCTCTCCCGTGTGTTTGTGTTTAGTACTGCCCGGATCCGCGGACCGAAGCCGACTGCTTAGGCAACATTCGAGAGTTTCTGAGAGGATGCTCGTCCTTGAAAGTGGAGGTAAGTTTGCGGTTGGATATGGCGAAGAAACCTTGCTACCGTTTCTGGGTCGGTTTATTAGCCATTTTAGCCCCGGTGCAGGTTTCCCCGTGAGCGGACTTAGACCTGCTTGCTTGTGTTGTGATCAGCCGAGCCTGCTTGGACTGTATCGGATTTCGCAGCACGTCCATGTGGAGTGAGCCACATAAACAGGCGTTCTGTCTGCCAGGAAGTAACAAAATGTAGTTGGACATTTCGTACCGTACTTTCGTAGAGTTTTCAGTTGAATTACTTTACTTTATCTGAACCGCTTTATCCTCAGAGAGAAGCAGGCGTGCCGGGGCTTTTCCCAGCTGTCTTCGGGCAGTAGGCGGAACCGGTTGTTCCTTTGAGCAATATACTTAAATTGCATAATTTGTTGCGATTTTGATGACAAGGAATTTTATTTTAGTCAAATATGCTTTAAAATGCAAACTTTTATTGAACATGGCGTAGGTTTTACTCAAATGTAACACTTTCTGCAATAACCTCTTAATACTGGACTTTTAATTTTCAATAGCTTGCCTTGTCACAAAATTCAACTTTAATGTCGCCTCTAAAACAAGGCATTTTAGTTCTAAACTCTTAATAGTGGAACAATCAAGGGAACCATTGACCCTACGAGCCATTAACAGTTACACAGTAGACATCCAACTATCCTTAGATTTGCGTGTCTTAATCTTTGAAATTGTCTCAGTACTCGACTGGAAGGATTAACCAGGTAGCCTCCAGGGTTTGAGAATTTGTACACTGTAGTCACTGAAGTATTTTATTGCTCCCTACATTTGAAAACAAATATCTATACTTTTTAACTCTTTACTTTTTCTTCATGTAACAAAGATGTAACTAAAGAGGGGTAAAGTCACTAGCGGTTGAGATCTTGATCGACTGAGGTTTTAGGGGGTCCTACAAGGCAGAAAAAAGGGGACAGCAGTGACATGGAGGAATATAAAGCAGGAAGTATTGCCAACAATGGCGCAACACATTGAGAGAAGTGAGATATTCCCCATCCATGGCCTTGTTTAAGAGAAACCACCAAAAGATGATAATTATTTCCGTGTGAAGTGTTTCCCCGCGGATATGGACCGAGCCCTGCCCCAAATAGTGAAAATTCACTATTAATTGACACCTCCCAAATGTTTTCTACACTAGTCCCAAATCTTTTGTCTAAATAAAACACCTCAACTCACTCAGTGATTTTTTTCCCCAGCAAAAATCGAACAACAGGTTCCCAAAACAAATCAACAAATAAGTAACTCCGCAAATCCCTAACAGCAAATACAGTACGTGAAGCTTTTCTGTATATACTTTTTGATTCATTTTTGATTAGGAATGTGTCGTTATGTGTCATAATAAAGCTTATAAATAGAATTAGTTTCAAAGCAAAAAAGGATTGGGGTGGAAGAATTCAATGAAAATAATGGCTGTCGTATGAGTTGTAATACAATGAAGTGTCCCGGACTGTTTCGAAGAATGCTTCCATTATCATGGAGGGAATGTGTTGCAGATGTTGGGAGTGTCCGCTCTCTCGCTGTGTGCCACACTGGACACGTCCTCTCTAATTTTATAAATAATCTTGGTCTGGTTCTGAATCACATCATCTGCTTTATGCCAGTCTGACTCACTGCACGATGGAGTGTTGGAGCTCCCAATACCTAACTGGCTTGTTATGTCTGGGAGGTCCCCCTCAGACCATAATTAGACCTTGTGAAGCCAGCAGCAGCTCGTGGCCAACCAGCCTGAGGCCCTCCAACCAGCCCTGCCCATCTTTTGGTCGCTGACGTGATCGTGTCTTTTTTTTTTTCCCGCCACTGCAGCAAATAGTGCCTGGTTATCCTATGCCTCCACAAAGAAGACAGTCATACTGTTTTCACTTCTGCACTGACATACCGAAAGAGGAAGCGGCATGGAGTGCTCAAGGCCTCTTGTTCCTTTCCTCAGCTGAATGGGATCATTTATTAGAGTGTGTGATTGTGTGGTCATGGTTGGATTTTAATTTTTGTTATGTCCAATAAGTTCGGGCTGTTGTCGATGCACATTTGTGCTTCATATGACTTCTTGTGGGCATGTTTCGCTTATTTTGGGATGATCCGCTGTGTTGTGCCGCATGGATTCAGTTTGCATGAGTGTATCACGGACGCACACGAAGGTGAGTAAATGCGATATTTTTCACTTTCGTTTATATCGTGGCAAGAATTCAATCAGTTAAGATCTCAGACACGGTGGACCTTATCTAACGCGATTTGCATCGTTTTGTTTTCTTGTGCCGTTATTCGTAGAGGTTGAAAAATACATCAAGCCTGTACAGCTATCTGTTTTCAAATGCAGGTATTAAAAGTAAAACATCTTTGTAGTAATAAACACTCAAGTACATATACCTGAAAAAAAGGATTTTAGTAGAGTAACACCGAACAAAGTATTTCTACTTCGTTAATTCCTACCACTGCAAAAGACATACAAGGAGATTGATACACTTGGTAACACTTCATACATTACATACAGCTGTGCAACATTTATCAGAAATGTACAAAATTCAACATGGGATACCTCTTCAAATTACTTTGTGAGTTTATTGGCAATGCTCATAAAAACGGATTTGTTGATAATTGATCACATGTTGGAATTTGTACAATTCATTGTTCAGTTTGTTTAAAAAGTAGTTGAGGCAAAATGGAGCACACGATTTGGCTGCCAGCGATGGAGGTGCGGTTCAATTACGGCAAACTAGTTATTTATCCCTTTCAGGCACAGCGGTTACTTGAGTGGACAACTATTCACATGTTGTTTTCTCTTGTATTAATTAACTTTAATGTCACAGTTGTGCATCAACCACTACAATGGACCCTTAGGTGTGTTGCCATTCACTGCCATTATTTTTTTTTTCATGCCTACAGAGTAATAAATAAACTTGAGGAAAAAAATGCAGATGTAGGTTATTATTATTTGTGCATGAAAGGGTTAATGATGTCAACACAGGACCTTGTCGTCACATCCACGCTACCGCACAACTTCTCAGGACGTTACTGCATTACTGTTCTGCTCAATACCTGGAAATAGGAGTTCAGAACATTGAGACAGTTTCCGTGAGAGGCAGCCCATAATTTGAAATATGAATTGCAGATGAATGTTGTCCCAATTTCAAGCCGTACCAATACAGCATATCGAGTGTGTGCATATTTGGTTTTACAGTATTTACCTGTAATCACTGTGGAAAATCTCATCTGAAAGTGTGGCTGAAAAGCAAAGCATTTTTGGGGGGTTTTGTTTTCGGTTCAGTTACATAGAATGTGGCATTTCAAAATATTGTTTTCGATAGGACCACCAGAGTCACGGATTTTCTGTTGCAGTGATTATGTGTGTGATGGTCAGTTGGCAGCTGTGAGGTGCCGACTGAATGCTTTCATGAATCATGATTGTCCACTTTTGCCTCAATCGCCCTCATCGCGCTGTGTGCGGTGGGCCTTCCATTCATAAAAGTTACATTCGTCATGCCAAATGAGTTGGCATATTTCTGTTGGAAATAATTCCGGTATTGTTTTCATGGGTATAATTATCATAATCCGAAGGCCACATTTGTATCAGAATACGAAATGTTGCTTCTCTAAAATCACCACCGATGCAAAAATTGTCTTTGACAATTTCCTAATGTGAGACCAGGAATTAGTTCAGTGCTTTCGTGCTTCAGTGCAGGATGTGATGCGGACGAAGGTGATGTGACGGTCCTCAGACAAAAACAGGATTGAAGCCGGGCCACTCAAACTCTATATTTAAGATGTTTTATTTAAAATGTGAAACCCAAAGCTCTGAAGGAAATGAGATAGCTGCCTGAGACGGCAAAAAAGCGGCACTGCGTGCCTGCATGTGCAGTGAATCGTAATGGTGTCTGGCTGTTTTATAGACCACTAATTCACAGAATATGGGTCATGCTTCATGTGCACGTAGTTAGTGTGTGTACAGCCGAGGCCTGTTTAATTCCAGTGAGTGTTCAATTGTGCATCCAATTATTGGCGTACAGCACCCTGTTTGTGACACAGTGATTTATAGCTTTTTTTTTTGTGGTGTCCTTTCCAGGGGTTTGAGCCTGAGTGCCTGTACAGCGGGGAGAATTTTGGCAAGGTCCTGACCACGTTGCTGGCTGTCAACTTTGCCACACAAGGTAAGAGGCAGCCCGCGCCGTCCTTCCGTGACCTTCCTGCATCCCGCTGCTTCGCAAACAAGGCCGCGGTGAATTTACACCCATCGATTGCTTCACCAGTTTTTCCACAATTAATCAATTATGCATGTGGGCTGTATAATTGTGACAAAAACAAAATGGCATAGAGGACACAGTGACTTCTTGGAAGGTTCTTCTGCTTTTTAACGGACTGTCCTTGTGAGTAAGCAGACTCACTTTTCAGTGACTCTGAGTCATATCCCAATGGGAATTGAAGTCCGGTGGTTGAACCACAACATCGTGACCTAAATTTATTGCTAAATCCTTTTAATTTGACAAAAATAAAAGAGAGAAAATCGAGCTAAGACTCGCACTCAAAATCTCCGTTCCAGAATCGTGGCTGCGTTCGGAAATACGCTCAGAGCGTGCGCTGCTTCATGGCGTCAATTCGGAAACTCAGAGTATGTTGTTTAAATGTATCGTTTGATTATTTAGACTGCCCCAAAAAGGAGTGCTGTTGCACCGTGTGTCAGACAGTACAGATGGAAACAGTTCAAGCATGAGCTGCTGATTCGTTTATAACATCGGCCGACGTTCGGAAATTAATGGGGAGGGAGCGTGCTTTGCCTCTCAGAACACACATACTCTCAGAGTGGTGTCAGGGTGTCAGTGTGAATGTTCTTGAGCATTCATTCAATATATTGGACGGACTCTTGAACGTCAACATGTGCAGTACACCAGTGATAAAATACACACTGTGTATTGGCAATGCAAAGGCCAACAATCAATGTCAAAATCAATGAAAAAAAATATGTAAAGCACGGACCATAGAACTACAATCGAACATACACGAATTCAATATTTGTTTATCTATCTATCTATCTATCTATCTATCTATCTATCTATCTATCTATCTATCTATCTATCTATCTATCTATCTATCTATCTATCTATCTATCTATCTATCTATCTATCTATCTATCTATCTATCTATCTATCTATCTATCTATCTATCTATCTATCTATCTATCTATCTATCTATCTATCTATCTATCTATCTATCTATCTATCTATCTATCTATCTATCTATCTATCTATCTATCTATCTATCTATCATCCATCCATCCATCCATCCATCCATCCATCCATCCATTTTATAAACTCTTCACATGCAGAGAGCGGCACTCACTCACAGATAACAGGAAGAAAGCAATGAATGGAAAGTGGTTGCCATTCTTGTTATAATCAGGAACCAATGTTTACATTGGGTTCATATTCATCCGTCTGCCACAGCGAAGCTTTTTTCTTTAGGTCATTGGTTCATTTCGATAATGTTCGAATCTTGGTCCTTGCTTTGTAAGAGTACTTGATCCGCATGGGTTCAGCATGGTCTTCGCTTATGTCCCCCCCCCAGCCCCCACATAGGTCCCAAATTAAGCATTGATTCATTGGTAGCTGATCTTATTGGAGATCGCCCACTGTGTTTTTGTATGAGTTCGACCATATATTTTTGAAATGCATTTCATTTATTTTATTTTTACTTAACTTACAGCAATATTCTTTGAGTAAGTGAATGAATTGTTGAGGACGGTGTGTGAATGGAACAAAAGGAATGGCTAAATAGGTTTTACGAAATGATTTTTTTTTTGTATGTGAACATATTGATAAAAATGATATCTGTCAATTCAGTTCAAATTGTATGAAGTAGAAGAAGAAAGACAAGAACACATAAAAGTAAGATATTTTGTCTTTAATGTTCATCCTCTGTGTTGATTGAATTGACTGCTTTGATGGTAGTGCGCTGTGTTGTGTAGCTCATGCAGCAATCATCTCACAGTCCACGGGGGAGACACAAGTCAGCTCCAGGTTTTGCAATTTCAAATTGTACTGCGGCAAACTGTACCCCTTGGTGGGCTAAGAGGCAACAACACAGTCTGTGTTGCTCAATTGGTGTCATGCAACATTTGATCAAGCTGATTGGCTTTACTGGCAGAGGCCAGCTGGTGTGTGTTTGTGTCCTGCTGGGTGCCAGATTTGCCTGCTCTGCTTGATGCAATACTAATATCCTGCTTTGTTCATTTTCCATTCAAATGAGGGCTTGGTGTTGTTACACAGAATCAATAATGTGAACTTTAATATCGCCCTTGAGACACCACACACACACACACACACACACACACACACACACACACACACACACACACACACACACACACACACACACACTCTAAGGTTGCAGCTTAAAATATTTACAGTGCTGTGGGCCTGCAGTGCTTTGGGGCTAATTGCTTCAGGAGGCAGAACTGGTCTCTGCTCACTTTCTTCCCTCAGTCTCAGTGTTATTTTGTCTGTCAGTGGTGGCTTGTCAGAGAAAATCTGCTTCCCATGCACATCACCAAATGCTGCTGCAGAATCACAGCTCTGTGAATAGATCCGTTTTGGACCTCTTTTTTTTTTTTTTTTGTCTTGATCATGACATATTGACTGTGGAGATGAGTTGCGACGAGGACTCTAATAATTTTTCGTTATAATTTCTTTTTTATTTTGACTTTTTTTTTAATTAGTTTTAATTAGGTTCCTAGTGGGTTTGTTAGATTGTATTAGTTTTTATTTTTTAGTTATTTGTTTTTTTGTTTGTTCGTTTGTTTTTGGTATACGGAGTATAAAGGTCAGTAAGCATTGTGTAATAAAGTAATGTGCAATTCCCAAATAGCTATTTGACCTTCCTTCTTCTGGATGCGCTTCCAGCAAGACAAAAATAAATGTAAATACTTAACATTTTTTAACAGGTATGATATTAATTGACAAAGACAAAAGCAAAATATATTTTCGCTATAATTACCGGGTCATTTCATTAAACTAGGATGTGGTGTCAGTTAATTATTCATCATTATTTTTAAATTATATATTCATTATCCTCACAAGGGTCGCGGGGGTGCTGGAGCTTATCCCAGCTGTCTTCGGGCAGCAGGCGGGGGACACCCTGAACCGGTTGCCAGCCAATTACCGGACGAGCAACCATCTAATCATATATCCATCCATCCATTTTCAACACCGCTTATCCTGAACAGGGTCGCGGGGAGTTGCTGGAGCCTATTCCAGCTGACTTTGGCCTGAAGCCGACTATATCCTGAACTGGTCGTCAGCCAATCGCAGGGCACATATAGAGACAAACAAACATTCACACCCACATCCACACCGTCACTGAGTGGGAACCGATCCCCCGCTGCCCGCAAACAAGTCAGGCGAGTGTACCACTACACCATCAGCGGCCTTTTTGTATTTTAATTTTTAAAGGACAGTTTTCAAAAAAATGTTACTTTTAGTGATCTTATTAGTTTTTATTAACTCTAATAACCTTGGTTGAAACAAGTCGTAATATACAGTATGTTTGTCACCTTTGAGGTTACGTTTACTTGATGTTGCGGCAACCATGGCAGCCCCGTGATAGGCCACAGCGGACAAAACGGGATTGTGGCGAGGCAGAAGCCTTGACAAAACTTCAACTTGCAAAGCAGCAACTTAAATGCTGGAAGGAGACTTTGTTGTTAGTCTCGTTATGAAATATAACAGAATGAGCTACTTTAGTGTGGTTTTTACAAGGATGGTTTACTTTTTATAGGTGTTGCAAATATGACTTGAGGTGCATCAGTCATGAGTTAGTCGATCCAACAAGAGGCCTCTGTGTCTTCTCCCTTGTGATCTTTGTTTTTGAATATGAACATGGCTTGAAAGTTTTTGGAATATGGAAGGAAGTCTGAGTACCTGGATAAGGCCCAATGCAAGCACAGTGAGAAAGAACATGCAAATTCCATACAGGAAGGCTGGAACAGATATTCTAACTCCAAACTCCAGAACTTTTAAGCTGTCGTGCTAACCACTGTGTTGTCCAAATCTTCACATCTCACTGTAAAAATTTAATAGGCCAAGAGAGAGAAAATAACAGCAACGCGTCTTGGACATCAGTTTATCTTGTAAGGCCAGAAATTCAGAAGTCAATGATATGCTTTTAGCATCTTGCACACTCACCCCATGCCAGGAGTTCTTGACTATCCAGTTTGAATGAGATAAGAAAACCCGATAATCAAGGCTGCATATTGTGTGTCCACAGACAGTGCTGCAGAGAGATCATGTCCGCAGTCCGGCACACAATCACTTAGTCCGACATCATCCTTGCACACAATCTCCTCCGCCAAGTCCAAAGGCTCTCTGCGGCGACAATCCAAATCTGTGGTATGCTCTCCATCTTCTCTCTTGTTCTGTTACAAGCTCACATATGCTCGTCACAAAAAGTTTGGGATATTCAGCTTTGCGCTGTAATTTCAGGATGAACCTAAAAGGTGATATCACCTTTACAAGTGAACTGAATTTGACCGTCTCTTATATGTAAACACCCACGTGACAGGAGATGTCGGAGAATGGCAGCAGTAACAGCGGACAGCTGATGGTGAAGGCCCGCTTCAATTTCAAGCAGAACAATGAGGACGAGTTGTCGTTCACCAAAGGCGACGTCATCATCGTGACGCGGCAGGAAGAAGGTGGCTGGTGGGAGGGCAACCTCAACGGAAAGACGGGATGGTTCCCCAGCAACTATGTGCGCGAGGTCAAGGCCTGCGGTGAGTCGGATGGCGCAATGACGGCCACGTTATTTATTTCTGGGGGGGGAAGTGAACCATTTTTTTTTAATTTTGATTTTGCGTGACAAAAATTTACAAGATTTGAAACAACTTCTGGTCATTTCTGGTGGCCCACCTGATGATCCGTCTGAACACAGTGGTTGGGAATCGCTGCATTAAAAGACTCATCATTGTTAATCTCTCTCCCGTAGAAAAACCACTGTCTCCTAAAGGAGCTCAGCTGACCAAAAGCTACTACAGTGTGGTGAGTTTACAGCATCATGTTCAACCCATGTTTAATTGACAAGATATTTTATGTTCAAACTTATCAATCGTAAAACTGTTAAGCAGTCCGCTATAATGAATCAAATGTTGACCTTTTTTTCCCAAAATGGAAAATTCCATTAAGTAACATTCTGTATATGAAGAAAACAAATAATCCAATAAAATAACAAGAAAATAATTATATTTCCCTATATGACTAGCAGGTGAATCATGAATGGCACCCCACTGTGTCTGTTGCCTTTTTTTTCAGGTGGTGCAGGACATCTTGGAACACGAGCGCGAGTTTGTCAAAGAGCTGCAAACGGTGTTGAGTTGTTACTTGCGACCGTTACAAGCCAGCGACAAGTAAGGAGGACGGCTTTTTCCTCACCAGGGTCGTTCCATGCCAAATGACCCAGTGGGTTTAACCAAGCGGATTTTGATTTGAATTAAAATTGCTGCGCTCTTTGATAGTGATGGCACAACACTAAATTTCACATTTGTGAGTCAATTGGAGTAGGGCCCGAATTTTTTTTTTACATCTCTGAAACTTTTCTGTGTTTGAGGAGATTTGAGACATTACATTTCATGAAAACATTGAAGGTCATGTGATCCACAAGGTCAATTTCAAGGTCGAAAAAATATACAACAATCTTGTAAAAGATACCTTGTTGTATTCTCTTTCCGACAATACCTGTTTTGTGAAGATTGCTCTAGTAGTTCCTGAGCTACAAGGGTTCAAAGGAAGGCGGCCACGCCCCTTTTTTGCAGGATTAATTAAAATTCAGTGGGCCGTAGCTCCCCAACTCGTGCTCTTATTGACCTCAAATTTGAGATTTAGTGTTGTGCCATCAGTATCACAAGCACAAGTTTAATTCAAATCAAAATGCGCTTGGTTCATTCTTTTCAGTTTTTTGGGGGGGTGATTTAGCATGCAATGACCCACCAATCACTTCCTCTAGGTACCATCATTCATATCACATTAGTTCAGCCAATTAACTCTCATCAATTCAGTCCTGATTATCATGTCAGAATTGAGTTTGCAGTAAAGCTCTGTCCAATGATTTTTATTTTTTATTTCCTTGCCAATACAAGCACCCAGGTCATATTTCTAATCCTGCATAAAGTACAGAGTTTCAGTACTTTTGCCACCTTTTCTCAGAGTGGAATATTTGAATATTTAGTTACTTATTGTTCAATGACTCTGTGCGCAGGCTGAGCAGTGCAGACAGCGCCACTCTTTGTGGAAACCTTGAGGAGATTCTCACCTTCCAGCAGGGCTTGGTTGCCTCTTTGGAGGAATGTATAAAGTAAGTCATCATTTATTGAAGCATTTCATTCTGGAGGGAGGAAATGATCACCTCATTATGAGTCTTAACATTCACTGATCACAAGAGTCGCCACAGCTGCTCTAATGTCATCAAACACAAGATGTTTTTCCCCACTTACTTATTAGTGCTGGAGATCATCTTTATAGACATCTGAAGAATAAAACAAGGATGTCCGCTTTTGGTTTCCTGTTTGCTCTTCTTATTGCTCGCTCTTGTCATGCCACTCTTCTGACCTTGACTTCGTCATTGCAGAGTCCCAGAAGGCCAACAGCGGCTGGCCGGATGCTTCTTAAATATGATGTGTCAGATCAAGTCCCTTTACCTGGCCTACTGCTCCAGCCACCCGTTAGCCGTCTGCATCCTCACGGATCACAGGTCAGTCACCGACGTATTTTCTCATACACCCTAATGATGTATTTTTGTTGTTTATCATTAATTCTATCATGAAATAAAACAACCTTTTGCTACATTCAAAATCTGTAGAAGTTATGATCAAGTACCTGTTGTGAGTAGTTAATTTTAGGAATCTGAAAATGGTGTTGTTGTTGTGTATTTAAACTAATCACATAACCTTGTCTTATCAAAGTCCGCTAGTTTAATGCTAACACTCAATCCAAAACAGCATAGATAGGCTAGCGATACTAGCATTGAAATTGGAGTGTCATAAGCCTTTAAGCATTTAGCATTTGAACACAGCAACACATTTATGTCATTATTAGTATATCCGAGTATTTTCGGAATATTCATCGCTACCCATACATAAAATAGACTATACACAATATTCAAAATTACAATACATCTTGTGGAACAATATCACATTTAACAACCATTATATAGTTAACCATAATAATTCATTAACTTTCGATGTATCACTTACCCATCAATACAATCTAAATTTACTAATACACCTCAAACCCTTATTATCCCCATAACTGTAAACTATTCATGTTTCTATAGTATTTATAGTTGTTTGATTGTTTACATTCTATTTAAGTATATTATGACCATGGTTTCATAAGGCATGAAACTAATTAGTGTTTTCTCAAAAACAACAAAAAAAACTTTTTAGTTGGTGTTTTATAGGGAGCTGAAGCGGATTAATGGAATTTCCATTCATTACAATGGGGAAAGATGATTTCATATCAGAGTATATCTCAATGAGCTATGTGGTAGGGACAAAATATTAGACACACAGTTAACTTCTTAACCACTGCCTAAGTGAAGGATCAATTGTTGATCTGAAGTGTATTGCATCTCTTTAGTTAGACGGTGCAGTTGGATCTAATCATATGGACTGTTGCAGTACGACTTGAAGCCACTAGGTGTCACGCTTTCATCCTTATATCCTTTGACGTAACAATTAGGTCTCATTTCCACGAGTGGTGAAAATAATGAAGCCGTGTTGAGGAATGGTGTAATCACTTCATGAGGACTGACATCTCTCTGAGCTGCAACATTAGTTGACCTGCACACAGGAAGCTACATGTCGACAAGCTGCACCCACTGCGGTTTTGCTGCCATGCTAACTAAAGTGGTAAAGAGACGTTATTCATTCTGTGAGGGAAATTCAATTGCCGGAGCAGCAATATTTATTCATAAACTCTTGTAGTAATGATATCGAAACAAACAACAACTTACAAACAAAACCACAGAGCGGGGTTGAGGAGGGGCTAGAATTCCAATTCAAGCATTCAACTTTTCACTAAACTAATTACTTTATATATATGGTGTACTTACAGCAAAACATTTATCTACAGTGTTATATAATTATGCATATTTCCACTATTAACTATTTTATTTTATCTAATTTTGGGAGCACTAAAGAGTGAAACATTTGTTCCTTTCTGCCAGCATCATAGGAGGCAGAGACCTTCATGCCGTCCCCCCCATAAGTGTGGTATTGGGAAGTGTTTGTAATATTCAAAATCCTATGTAGCCACATGAGAAGGTAAAATAAGAAACAGCAGGTAAAACTGAAGTTGTTCCATGAGCTCAAGTTCATATTTGATCAGAGACACGAGTCATGTTTTTTCTGTGTAAACCTTTCCAATGACAGGTTTCATGTTACTCAGAGGTTTGTCTAACGTTTCAAGTCCCGCAAGTTACACACGTTTTACTTAGTAGCAAGCGGAACACAAAGTTTTGAAAAATATGTGTGACTGGAAATGCTTTAATTGATGACATGTGAAGTGCACAAGGACTTGGTTTCACAATTTTAAACTGTTCACAGATGACTTCTTAAGCAGTCTCTTGACATTCTTCGGACAAATGCAAAAAAAAAAATAAAATGACAGCACATTTAAAAACCCAATTATCACAATCATATTGTTTTGGCGTGTCATGCCAACGGCAAGTATTGTTACCATGAAAACTCAGTCACAGGTAAGGCATGTGGAGAAGTGAGCAGCTACTCAGTGTTACCAACAATGTCACTATATTTAGTTTCTCCTCGGACCCCTTTGGTGACAAATTTTCCATCAGTTAATAAAATAAAAATAACAAATATGTGATGTACCTGGAGGGGGGCACGGTGGACTAGTGGTTAGCACATTGCCTTCACAGTGCAGAGGTCCAGGGTTCAATTCTGCTTCGGCCTTCCTGTGTGGAGTTTGCATGTTCTCCCCGTACCTGCGTGGATTTTCTCCGGGTCCTCCAGTTTCTTCCCACATTCCAAAAACGTGCATGACAGGTTGATTGGCCACTCCAAATTGTCCCTAGGTATGATTGCGAGCGCAAATGGCTGTTTGTCTATGTGTGCCTTGCGATTGGCTGATAGCCAGTTCAAGATGTGGCCCGCATACTGCCCGAAGACAGCTGGGATAGGCTCCAGTGCGCCCGCGACCTTTGTGAGGATAAGCGGATTAGAAAATGGATGGATGGATGTTCCTGGAGCCTCTTAAGTTAAAAATCACCACTTCACATCCAGACTGCAAACGAATATTGTGTGGACGCAGCCATTACTGGCTAACTAAGCTAGCTGGCTAACATTCAGCAGTTAATGTCCCATCGTGGCAAATATTCAGGCTATGAAATAATGACATGACATTAAGTTTTGGGGGTGTTTCCTCTTCCTTAGCGAGGACCTTGACAAGTTCATGGAGAGCCAAGGAGCCAGCGCTCCGGGCATCCTGACACTGACCACCAGCCTTAGCAAGCCCTTCATGAGACTGGACAAGTATCCCACCCTGCTGCAGGAACTGGAGAGACACGTGGAGGTAAAGATGCATCCAAATTATTAAGTATTAAAAAAAAAAAATCTAATGTCTTCCTGCATAAATATTCGACCTCTTGTATAAGTGTTCCATGTCCTCACCATAGGAAGCCCACCCAGACTTCTCCGACATTGTGAAGGCCACAGCGGTATTCAGGAGTTTAGTGGTGAGTGTGTGACATGGCAACGGAAACTTGTAATATTGATTCATGCATGACAGGGCGCCCTGAGACCCTCAATAGTCACTTCTTGGTTTTGAAATGGCAAATCTAGTGTGCAGAGAAATCTCGTAGGTATATTTTCCAGACCCACCCCGCAAAAAGTGGAAATAATCTCTCTCTCTCTCTCTCTCTCTCTCTCTCTCTCTCATTGTTTTACGCCTCCTATATGCTTAAAGCACAATGAAACATAGCGAAACATTTTGAAGGTATTACTTTGCACCTCGTCTCACTATCACGGTTACATTGGGATTTTAGCATATAGCATTTTAAGGAATGGACAATTCGACTGTCGCTCGTACAGTTCTCCAAGAGGCAAATCATGTTTGTCACTACCCATTGAAATTTGCCAAAAAAACTAACACATAAAACCAAAGACAATTAAACATTTTATATTAAAACATCGAAATGTTCAACCAGACCTTGTAATAACAAAAGCTAGCTTTATGCTAACATACAATGCAAAACGCCATAGACTGGCAAATGAGAATTAGCATATGTTATGGTAATTTATAGTTCCTGAAAAACTGCTATTTTAACGCACGCAGAGCAGCAAACCATACAAACAGTATGAAATATCATTCACAGGCAAATTTCATCCTCTACTCTGCGGGAAAAGTGGAGTTGAGTTTCCTCCCTCTTTTTTCTAGCTGTTAATTAGGTTGCATGTTTTCCAGTCGAGCTCAGTGTTGTGTGACAAATTGCGGCACAACACATTCCTACACAAAAGGCACAGACTATAAATTCACACTTGTCTGTATACTGTAACATTGCTTCAAAACGTATAATATAGTAGGAGTGCGAAAGGTGAACCTTCACATTGTGGGGATTCTGTGTAAAAGTTGTTAGAAAGTGTTAATTTTGTTTTTCCCGAAATGAGGGGAGCAAAAAAAATCAAAGTGAGGGGATGTGCTGTGATGCTATTTGTTGACGACATGGGTTCAAAACCACACTGAGCCCGAGAGCAGTTGTCAGTTTCCTCAGCAAAGCGCTGAGTTCCTAGTAAGATGGTAACATGAAATATACATGCACATCTTGTTTGACTTTGTGGGTTGTGATGAGGGTGTGACGCGGGCCGATTTGAAACACTGCTACAGGTCTCTGCCCACAGAGCGCCCTCATGTGTGATCTGCCATGGAAAATGACAACATTTACCCTGGCGTGTTTTTTTTTTCTTTTTCTTTTTGAGTAGGGAGAGGCCATAATTAGCACGTGGAAATGCCACAGACGGAGAAAATTATTTTAAGATCAGGATATTTTTTAAAGAAAAATACAGGAGGGCTGAAAAATAACTCCCTATTTTCAAACACTTTTTTTGTGATTCATTGTATGAATATCTTTTCTAATTGTTTTTCTTCATTTTTTGTGATTTATTTATTCTATGATTTTTAAACAAAATGGATATGACAAGAAAGAATTTAGCATGAAGTATTATTTGATATGGGCACCAACTTCTCGAGCCGCCCTATAGTCAAACTCATTTCTAAGTGACACCAACATTTTAACCAGTTGTATTTGTCTGGTTATTGGTATTTATTTAGTCCCCTATTTTTTTTTTTTTGTTTGTTTTAGACACAGTGCCAGGAGCTGCGAAAGCGCAAGAACCTGGAACTGCAAATCCTGTCGGAACAGGTGCGCGGCTGGGAAGGAGACAGCATGAAGAGTCTGGGTCATGTGCTCTACATTTCCCAGGTCCACATGAGAACCGGCTCCAGTGAGGTGAGAGAGTGGTTGAATTTCCAATGTGCTTCAACATCAAGTGTGAAAGCCTCCAAAGGGAGCTTTGTGGGTAATGTTGACTAAACCGAAGCCTATGAAAGAGCGACGTCGTCTTTCTTGTGGGTTTTCTTTGTGGGGGGTCTGGTTTGACTAGGGGCTTGGAAGACGACTGCAGAAAAACGTACGTTTTAGTGTCAACCACTGCACGAGTCATAATGTTGCCATCATCTTCCTCAGCTATTTCACTTTGCTTTCACTCGCAAAGCTAGCCAGCACTAGCTATTATGTTGTACTTTTATGAAGGCACAATTTATCGCGGGGATACATACCTGACCCACTTTGGATAGAAAATGATAAATCCACGCTAAAATTACATTTTAACCCTCCCAGCACACATTTTACAACACATATTTTTAAGTATTCCTTTGTACCTTTTCCTCTCGCTTTCATGAAAAGGGGAGTCTATTGTATAACATCACTTTGAGGAAGCGAAGACTCACTGTTGTAGTTTCCTGTCAAACTGATACACACTACAAATGATTCAATTATTAAAACACCAAAATAAGTACATACAATGCAATATGCCACATATGGGCTAACTGAAATTAGCATCATTGTTACAGTAATTAGTATGCTTTCTGCCTATGTGAATGTTCATGTCATGAAGATGGCGCATCTCTTTCAGGACAAAGATGAGCGCTACCTGATGCTTTTCCCCAACGTGCTCGTGATGCTCTCCACCAGTCCACGGATGAGTGGCTTCATTTATCAGGCAAGTCGTTTCCATTCATGAGCAGCTGGAAACAAAGCCATGTGTGTGGTTTTGTTTTTGGCAGACATGCTCATATTTAACTTGTGCAACTATTATAGTGAGGCCTGCTCATTTCATTACTCGGCCAGTCTCTTTTTTTCTTCTTCTGAAAGCATAAGACTTTGATCAAGACTCTGGAATGGAAGACTCTCAAAATTGAGTGACGTGGATTCGGGTGCACAAAATGTTGATGGGAAATCCCTATCTGCAATGTCTGAGGGTTTTTTTTTTTTTTTAACCTGTGCATGATAAAATGCTGTAAAACAGTATTTGAATCCTTTGAAAGCACTCAAGTTTTGGCTTGACATATTCAAAACCTTTGCAGCACTCGCAAGATGTAGGGCACCAATGTTGATTTGACCTCTGCAGACATCTTAAGTCAGATTTGCCAAAATCAATAGGGCTCTCCTACCCATGAGCAATCGTCTCTGAAAGTTAGATTGCTTATAAAATCTGGTAGGCAGATTACCTCACACCTCACCTCACACATTGACCCTTATGAATCATTTACCACAAATATCTTTTGTGGGCTGCCTTAAAACCAGAGATGCACTGTTATAGATAGCGCTTCAGTCCTACAACACTCGATACCAGCTTGGCTTACACTGAAAAGTGTGTCTTGCGATTACCTGCAAATGCTTGTGACCTTGTTTATAGCAAATAGTTCCTTCATCATCAACAGAATACAGAACCGAGAAGCTTCTTTGATCGTGGCAGAATACCCATTTTTTCTCACTTTTTGACAGTACAAATCATGATTTCACGTCTAATATCTTTCTTTAGGGACGACTGCCACTGACGGGCACCACTGTAATGAGACACATGGATGATATGGACAATGCACACTTTGCCTTTGACATCACAGGTTTGTATGTTGACAAGCACTACAAACTACTTCTTTCGCCCGCACTTCTACAAATGACACACATTCCCAGAAGCGGATGTGGTCTCTTAGTGCTCAAGGAAGTGTGTGTGTGTGTGTGTGTGTTTGCGTGATCTGCAGGAAGCATGATGGAGCGGGTGACGGTGTTTTGCAGCAGTGCCCAGGAGCTGCAAGAGTGGCTGGAGCACCTGCAGCCGTTTAGCAAAGGAGGCAGCCCTTCGGGCACCATCTTGAAGGTTTGAGCTTGAGAAACACTAAAGAATTACGACTGCTAAGTACTTCTTTTTTTTCCACTTCAAAGTATTTCAAAACTTCATGGCGTCACATTCGGAAGTAGACACCACACAAATCCTTTTCTGAGTCCTGACTGTGATAAATGCTATGTAAATAAAATTGACTAACATAGCGCGTAATCATGGATCCCACCCCCACACAAAACCAAAGCTCACAGTGTGGAAAGCTTTCATCATATGCGGTGCTCTTTTGCATTTGTTTCCCCCGTGCAGACGGTAGAAGGCAAGCCCCTGAGCATGGTGGGCACCCCTACCCACTTGTCCCACCTTGGCAGCTTCAGCGCCGTCAGCCGCGGGCCCCTGGAACCACCAAAGATGAGCAAGCCGTGGTCACTCAGCTGCCTGCGTCCGGCGCCGCCCCTCAAACCCTCGGCCGCATTGGGTTACAAAGAGGTAGGAGATTGCAAAGCAGTGGTGTGCAAACTTTGGTGCCCGGGGCCCACAAAAATCGAACGGATGGGCTGGGTAAAAAATAAATAAATAAAATTTTAAGACAAAATCACACTCCATGAAGTTTTTGTTAGAATTTTAAAGCAAATACGTCTATGGTCTAAAATTTGAAAACTAAATCCCCATTTTGAAAATCTGAAAACATATCCTTCAAGACATTGCAACGAAGAGTTGCAGTGAGTGTTTTTTTTTTTTTTTGTCTGTATCTCTTTTGATATTTTAACCAACCCATTTTAGGGGGAAAATATTACAGCTGCAATAAAACAGCATATTTTAATAAAATAGTTCTTCCTTATTTTTGAACAATAATAAATGCATTTTATTAAATATATAAAATTCGGAAGTGTTGAATCCCCCCCCGCGCCAAAAAAAATTGCCAGTTTAATGAAATTTCTTTAAAAATCGGTGTAAAAGTATTTATTTTATAACTTATAATAAATTATTTAACTGTATGAATGAATCAAATTAGTTTTTAACTAACCAATTTTAGGAGAATTACTGCTAAAATAATGCAACAAATTTCATGTAAATGTAATTTTTGCTCATGATTATCTCTTCCATTGTCAATAAAATAAATCTGAATTCATATTTTTTTATGAGTAAAATAATTATTTTTAAAATTGTATTTATAATGAAAATAATGTATTCACCAATGTCATAAAAAAGGTCAAATATTTTTAATCAAGTTCCACAAGTACCTAATGTAGTGGCCTTTGAGAGTCGATGTGTCTTTTTTTGCATTATGTTTTGCAGCAATCACATCAAACGAGTTTCTCTCGCATGGCCTACTTCTATTCGCATGACCGCTATCCGTGAAAGAAAACGCTGCCAAGCAAACTGAATCAAGTCGAATCCACACTTGGCCTGTTTTAGTCCCACAATGCATTGCCCTTCTCTCCATCTTTTCACCACGGTACACAATCAGGCAAAAAAAAAAAAAAAAAGGAGGGTGTTTCTGTGGTGTTCAAATGTTGACACTATTAACTCTGCATCGCACCTTTCTCCCGTCATATTTTCACGCACTTCTTTTCTCTTTCTCCACTCTGTCTTCTGTAGAGGATGTCTTATATCATGAAGGTAAGGTTAGATTCCTGTGTGAGTATGTGTGACTCTTGGGAGCTGTTGGTGTGTATTAGTAAGCGTGTGCGCCCTCAGTGGTGAAGTGACATAACTTCTCCTTCCTCAATGTGGTTTCCTGTGAAAGCCTGCATGTGTGCTTTCTTCCTCCTCTCCTGCGCTAAATGCGCCTTCAGCCATTCAAGAACAGAAGCTTGAAACGGGCCTGGACAAAATGACGATAAAGTCAGAAAAAGTTTGTGTGTGCCATTAGTATCACGGGTGCCTTCAAACTTGTAAAGCAGTCAGTCGGCCTATTGAGAGGGAGACAAGTTCTTGTCGTCAATGTGCTGTATGGGGACGTGGTGTGTGCCACACTAAACATGGACCAGAGTAGAAAGTTGAGTGTCTGTCACCGAAGCATGAAGTCATGATAATCACTTAACATTCTTATTTTTATTTACATTCTATTTATGTTACTGTTGTATGCTTTCATAAAATACCGATTTTTTTTTTTTTTTTTTTTGGTGCATTCGATTATTGGCACTTTCATTCATTCACTGTCGAAGGATTTGTGCTAAGAGTCTTTTGTCATCAAACTTTCTGCAAGCAAAACAAGTGGTGTCAAAATGTTAACTCCTTCTTTCTTCCCATTGCTTTGCAAACATGTCCCCCATTGTCAAGCTTTCGTTTGATTTATTAATTTTTTTCTGCACTGACTCCCCGTACAATGCCTTTAATGTGTTGACACATTGTTGTGAATTCAATTCCACATTTCCTCAAATGCATTTTCGCTTAGGGACAAGGTTTTATCAGGGTGCGACTACATGCCCGCTTTGGTCACAGCTGTCGCCACGCGCTTCGCTGCCTTTTTGTCCTTGGTCTCTGAGAGCTTGTGCAGTGATTTGGTTTGCAGTCTTGGCTTCTTTTCAGGGGAGCATGACAAGAGACTCACTGACAATGTGCCCCTGCAGGACTCCAGCAAGAGCCCACGACCCATGAAAAAGTTTCTGCCTGGAAACAGGAAGAAGGAAAGGAAGCATTCCGATGACGAGGTTCACACAAGGAGAAGTACGACTGACTGAAAAGAAAATTTGTATTTACAGTATACACTTTTCATATTTGATAGTGTGTGTTGAAGTGGAACATAATCTCCTCCAGTAACCTCACATTTTTAATCATCTTCCCCAGTAGAAATAAGGATAATTAAATATATATGGGTAGCATTGTGGTTGGGTGTTTAGCACACCTGTCCTGGATCGCAGTTGGAAGATGCAGGGTTTGAACCTTAAGCCCTTTCCTGTGCGGAGTTTGCATTTTTGCCGGCGTAACTGGAGAAAATCGTTTTTCTACCCGAATTCCAGGTCCCTCCTACATTCCAAAAACATTGTTGGCTTCATTCACGACTCAAAATTAGTCATGAATATGGTGTGGTGAATGAAGACCTTCACCAAGGCCTAAGAATCATAATTTGGATCAGTACCAAATTGTACACAAAAAAAAGCCAATTTAATTCATATCTGAATTTTGTCATCAAGATTATGCATGAAAAACCATGAATCGACACCCCCCTAAAAAGGTTTGTAGTTGCCCATATATGCCACCACATGGTGGCAAAGCACTACCTTTGGCGAAACGAACTTCCTCAATTCACTTCTGCATAGCTCAGCGCCATCAAAGTACTGTAACACTGTTTTTGCTTTGGGCTTAGTGAAAGCAGAACCACGAATTGGTGCGAGTTGACCGTATTCACTGAGAAATTAAGGAATACAATGTTAACCGGTGCAGAGAACGTGATTGGTTTACCTTCTGGAGTGGCACTCAAACATGATTTGCCTGGAAATGAAGACCCATGTGCTTTTTTTTTTTTGTGCTAACAAACAAACACGCTAAAGCAATGCTCTTGGCGGAGCTAACGGAAGAATTGTGTTCCAGGCACGGTGGCTTTGGAAGAGGACGCTCAGATCTTGAGGGTGATCGAGGCCTACTGCACAGGAGCCAGCCTGCACTCCACCAACACACGTTTGTATCTTTTCTCGTCTCGTTCTGACCTTCCGCCGGGCTCACGTGAGCATGCATCAAACGGTGTGCCTGTGTTGGTGTAGCCGTGCGGAAGGAATGCGTGCCTCAGGTGCTCCTTCCCGAGGAAGAGAAAATCATTGTGGAGGAGATGAAGAGCAACGGGCAGACGGTCATTGAGGAGAAGTAAGCGCATGCCGCTCACTTTCTGTCTCTGTCTGCGTTTTGAGGTCTTATCTTAACGGTGTTTATTATGCTGTGTCGTAATTTGCATTGTTGTGGAATTACACTGCCTAATAGAGGATCGTTTGGCCCTCTTTGTACACCTAAATAACCAGTAATTACATAGAAACAGCTCTCAGTATGACACACTGCAGTTCCGCACCACTGCAAACTCAAACCGCAATAATAAATACATTTATTAAACGTAAGTTTCCATTGATTGAGCAGGTATACCTCGTCTTACAAATCATCACCACTCAAATCTGGATACGGTGTCAGTTTTTTCCCCCCACCTTTTTCTTACAGGAGTCTGGTTGATGCAGTGTATGCTTTAAAGGATGAGGTCCATGAACTGAAAAAGGTATTTTATTGTCTTGATTCAACAAAGTCTTTGTTATTGTGTTTCGTGGTGGTGTGTGGTGTAGCTCGGGGGTTCCCAAACTTTCTTTTACTGAAGATCTACTTCTCAAACCAACCAAACCCCGACGATCGACCCGTTACGACCCGTCATCACACGTGCACGCATGCGCACGCATGCGCGTGCACCCATACTTACGTGTGCATCCGTGTGCACGCAAACGCCCATGCCATGATGAGCAACAGCCTCTAACACGAACGAAACGGAAAAATAAACTAGATACAAGATTGAGTTTGTGAAACGGAAATCACTGCCTACCTTTAGTGGGAGACCTGACGCGGAGGCATTGTATGCACTTTTGCAGCGTGTTAAATGTATGAACATCACGATCGTACCTCACGTTTACCGTTTTAAAATGCTTCTGCTGGCGCTCCAGATTCCCGTTCTTTGCCAATGCCATCGGCGAATTGCAGATGAAAAAAACTTTGAATGAGAAAAAAAAAAAAAAAAAAAAAAAACGCAACAGGTCTGAATTGCAGACTGCTAACCACTAACAACTTCCGGTGATGCGGGTCACGTGCTACGGTAGGTTAAAGGTGACCTGCCTTTTTTCATCCGTCCAGCCATCCATTTTCTGATGCGCTTATCCTCAAAAGGGTCGCGGGGCATGCCGTAGTCAATCCCAGCTGTCTTTGGCCAGTTGGCGGTGTAAACCCTGAACCGGTTGCCAGCCAATCGCGGGGCACACTCACATCTAACCCACACTCAAACCCCTCTTGACGACATGTCCTCTCCGGTGTATGTTACGACAGGAGAACAAATGGATGAAGCAGTTTCTTGAGGATGAGCAGAAGTCTCGCAAAGAGCTGGAGAGAGTGGTGAGGAAGCTGGCCAAGCAGAAGAACGACTGCACGTGGGACGATGGAGGCGGTGGTAGTGGCCACTAAGCACAGAACGAGCTGTGTGTGTGTGTGTGTGGGGGGGGCTGCAAAAAGTGCAGAATGTCTTGGAAGACTTACATCCAAAGCCACAGAAGTTGCGTCACAGTCCGAATACATATGTTTGCGCGCTGTCAGTGTTTTCCAAAGTTTCTGGAGCCAAGGTACATTTTCGGGAAATCTCACGGCGCGCCACCAAACAAAAATGTCAATAACATAAAAAAGAAAACCCTTCTTCATGAAACTCCTCCACCACCTTCAACATAGTTCTTTGACAATAAGAGGGCGGAAAGCACCATTTTTGTCCAAATCAAACTACTCCACTCATTTCATAGTTTCTCGACATTACGATGGCAGCAAAGCACCATTTTTGTCTAATTGAACTCCTCAACTCCTTTCACCATACAGTTCCTTGACACCAAGATGGTGGTAAAGTACTGCATGTCCCCCAAAAATACTGTCTTGATTTTTGTTTAGGATGCATTGCTGGTCACTGAATGTCGACAACCACACACACACACACACACACACACACACACACACACACACACACACACACGCACACACACACACACATTTTCACACCCGTCGCCTCTTTTGCCGAACGCCACTGTGAACTGTTTTCAACCAGGAAATAGAACAAAACGAGAAAGGAAAAAACAACAAGCTCACTGCAGTCTCTGCTTATTATTATTATTATTATTATTTTTTTTTTTTATGCCCAAGTCTGAACCGGAAGCTTCTGTTACCATGTCAACTTTTACTGCCCTCTGCTATCATTTGTTTGTCGTGCTGTCAGGACATCACTATATTAAGCTATGTATGATATATTTAGAGTTTTAATTCATATCAAAGTTCCCCCCTCTCAATGTTTGATGCGGTTCGTAAAAAGCTACACAAATATTTGATTTTGAACATTCATGGAGCTTTTTATTAAGAGCCACGTGTAACATTGTAAATACACACAAATAATAAGTAAGATATTTGTAGACTGATGCTTAACAAACAGATGAGTAAGAGTATAATGCTTATTTCTAAAATATATATTGTTTTTTTTTTTAATTTACGCGTTAACTGTTGTTTGGATTTTTAAAAAATGCTTTATTTATTTATACATCCAGATTGTAAGTCTTCCTTGTGGTTTATTAGCCAGGCCGAAAAGTGCCTCCAGATGAACCTTTTTTTTTTTTTTAATTTTTTTTTTAATGAAATGTCATAATATGATAAAAATAGTTGAAAAAAGCAATAATTGAGAGAGAATTGCAGTTTTAACGAAAAAAAGTGTACAGTTTCGTTGCGCGGGTCCCAATTTTCATCATATAATAACAATCATACAATCGGTACAAGGCAGCAACTGTCTTCCTCAAGAGCACTGCGACAATGTAAATGCAACAGACAGGCACTCTCCTTCCTGTCTATTTTCTTTCTTTCTTTTTTTTTTTTTTAATAGCTAAAAATGTCTGCAGCCTCACTGAGCACTTCACTGCAGCGGGAATTTTCATCTCACGTCAAGTCTGCTTTTAAAGGTTCTATGCAATCATCATTATTATTGTATTGTTGCATTTTTTTTGCACTCTGTATGTTGTCCTTTTATTAAAAATGTCATATTCTAACCGTGTTTCATTTAACAAATGAAAAGTGTGTCTCTTTTTATGTTTTCCATATTCATGCAGCCTCTAAGTCTATACAGGAAGTCCGTCAAGAACATGGTGGAAAGTGTTGCGAACAAATGGCACGTATACCTGCATGCATCCTGTCAGTATGTGACATTCAAACACACACACACAGATCACATATGACCACATTGTTACAACAAATGCACAATTTCACAATTCACAAAATGAAACTGGGTTAAACTTTTTTTTTTAGCCACCATATATATTTATGCTTTCAGTGGTGTACCTTTGCAAGATATTATTTCATTATTTTTTTTTACCACCTAAAAAAATAATGCTGTCTGAGATACTGTATTTTGTTTTAGTCTCATGAAACCAAGGCTAAACTTTTAAGACCATAAAACCCAAAAAGTTATGTTGGAGCCTGGTTTTTCTCCCAACAAACATACAGAACAAGCCCCGACACAAGGAGCCGTGATTCAAACCTACAACCTCAAAACCGTGAGGGAGACAACCGAGACCACCATGCTGCCCTGAAGACTTCGCTTTTTTTTTTTTTTTTTTATTGAATTAATATGAGCTTCTCCAACAAAAATATAAAATACATATGATTAAAAAAAATAGCAGTTGAAGTATAAACCCCCTATTTATACAGTGTCATAGTTGTATTTCAATGAAGTCGTTAAAAAAAGGACATTAATTTTAATGTGGACTCTGAATGCTTCATAGTGCTGCAAATTCATGTGACCAAGTGCATTGCTACAACAGGATTCAAATATTCCAAACTATGGTCTTCTCAGGCATGTTTATGACATGTTACAACAAAAAATGTATATAAAATCAGTTAAGTATTCATTTTAAAAATAATTGATTTATTGCAAAACAAACAAATTTATGTTGTACTCACTTAGGCGTTTTGTATTCATGTTAAATATTTGATTATATAATTGGATGAACCACAAAGCTTTATTTGGGGTTTGGTCATATTTTCTGTTGATTAGGATTTTTAAAAAAATAATTATTTACTTGAACATGAAGAGGGAATTATGAACTGTTCCAAATAGCAATAAGTGTTAGCGCAAAACCATCATTCTGGTGTAAAGCTTTTTTTAAAAGTCAGGAAATCCGACAAGAACGGCTGAACTTTATTTAGGCTTTTTAAATGATGGCAGGTGCGTGCTGACTCCCATTTGAGTTTGTGTTTTGTTAATAATATCGCCCACATCCCAGTTCTAAGGGTGGGCACACTTTTGCAACCACATTTTAATTTTAAATTTTATTTCTTAAAAAGATTACAAGTTGTTTTTTTCAGCTATGTTGAACAGGTTACAGGTCACATTAATGGTGGAAAAAGTTTAGGAGTGATTAGTCTCTTTGTTTTTCATCACAAAAACCTGTCCGTTGAACAGTGGTATGCAGACTTCATATCCAGAGAAACTGATCATTTTGCATGATCTCACTTTTTTCCCCCAGAGATGTATGTTTGTTTAACAAAAAAAAAAAAAAATAAAAAAAATATATATATATATATATCTCAAACATGAGCTTTGGCACAAAAATTTGTCCATCGGCCCTGCTGTAAAGATGAAAAAAGAATCCTTGTCAATGCTGTCCCGAAATGTTTGTCCAATCGAATAAATAAAATCCTCTCGTCCACACTGTCAAAGCTTGTACATCCCAAAGACTGTGGCCTTCTCGCTGTAGTCCACTTGTGACAGGTCCTGTACCCACAAGCTGAGCTGGTTCCCCCTCTCCAGCGATATCACCTCCCCCAGGGAGACAGAGCACAGCTGGGACTTGGACCCGAACCCTGAGGGGTCGAGGCTGCAGTAGGCCTGCATGGCCACCTTCTCCTCGGCCGACTCGTCACGCTTCAACTTGAGCACACTGGCCAGCGGCTTCTCTGGATCGGCTTTGGAGAAGGTGACCCTGGAGAAGACCATGTAGTCTCCGGACTCCAGGACCGTGAGCCAGCTGTTACGGTAGTAATTGATGTTGCTTAGGACTGAGTGCTTCATGTCCCACCGGAGGTAACCTGCTGGGGGAAGACATCAGTCGGTTCTTTACAATGGTCATTCTCCAAGTGGGGTCTGCGTAAAATACTCATTAGTAAAGGTATGTCAATTTTTTACAAACTGTTGAAAAACACGTTTTAGCGTGATACCAGATCACATTAAAACACACATTTCATCACATTATAAATTAGGTAGAGCGGGTCGCACAGTGCCCGAAGGGTTGCTGCGACTATTTCCTGTTGAATTGCCCTTGGGCAAGACACCGAATTTTAATTTGCTCTCAGTGGAGCAGCTTTTTTCAAATTGAATTGTTCACCGTAGGTGTTCCATCTCGGAGTTGACTAACAGAGCTAAATGCAGAGATCTCGTGAATTGAGCTCCAACTTCGCACCTTTACTCCTCCAGTTTGAGAGAGAGACACACGTTAGCGCCATTTTCACGCGGTAAGTGAAATTAAGTTACTCAAAAAATGGATGCATAATATGTGCACTGAAAATAACATACTTGTTACAAAGCTTTATTGCTAGGAATGAATAGCACATTTGCCCATGTTTAGCTAGCACTTGCTAAGCTAGAATGTTTAGCAAGCACTTAGACAGTTAGAAAGCTTCGGACAAATTGGTCTTGTTAAAAAAAAATCATTCATTTCAAAGACATTACAAGGGGTCAAATAAAATAATAAGATGCTTACATGTTGATTCCTGTGCTGACAAGTGTGCTTGCTTCGCCACGACCATACGGGCCAACGTTCTGGAGGAAGTTTTCTGAAAAGTAGCTGGAACCAACCCAAAATATATCGTACACATATACTTTATCGTACATATTTATTATATCTCCAGTTTTATGTCTCAAACTCAACGATTCCCAACCACGGTTCCGCGAGAAATCATCCCAATTATTCGATTTCACTTAATTGGTCCTGAAAATACTATCAAGTTACTACAGAACATGTTTATCGATCTATGACAGTGAATTATAGTGACAAGCAGATTAAGTAATTTTTTCCCACTACAAAGCACAATGTGTATATATTTGTTGCCATTCGCGCAACACAGTAAGTGCTTTTAGTTCAACTAAACACTTGTAGATTTCACACGTGATTTTGTTAGTCAGTCGAGACTGTATATTTTTGGTGGTCTCTTGTTAAATATGTGCATGGCTAAAGAAAGGTTGGGAAAGACTGACCCATAGCTCATGTTAGACAAGAAAAAAAAAATAAAGATAAACATACCTTCAGGTAATGATGGCGGCTTTTCCTGTTGGATTGAAAAGTAGGACAAGTGAAAGGTCACTTTGTGGTCGCAATATTAGGCGCACCTCTTGTATACTTTTTATGAAACGAGAACTGTAACAATAGTTATGAAAAACAACCCCAAAAAAGGTTTATTTCAGCAGTATATACTGTGGCAGGATTTTGTTCTATTAAGAATATGTATAACATATTTGTGAATTTCATTTGCCTCTTAAAGACACCATTTTGATGGAAATGTAATAAATTTTTGCGGCAAAGCACCATAAATGCATTTCCTATGGAGCACAGGTATCATTCAAAGCCAGGGGGCTACATCTGATCCACCACATCGTTTTAAGTAATTTATTTAGACATGTCCAGATGTTTAAGAGTCATTCAGAAACCTCCTGAAACATTTTTATTTATTTTTTTATCACATAACAATTTGTAGACTGTGTCTTGATTAATTTTATCTTCATTTAAATATTTAAACAGTTGTGCTAGAATCCGTATCGTCGTTTTCGGTCAAATATGCAAAAACACCCTGGGAATTTGTCCCCTGTAGTTAAAGTTGCTTTCATACTACAGCAGTTGTGAAAGCGCTATATAAATAAATATGTATTGGATACAAACAACTGTAACAAAATTAACATTCAGTACTTAACTACTTAAATATAGAAAGTCATTTAGCCATATGAAGTGTTATTTGTTTACATTTATGTAATTCTATTTCTATAATTCCATTGGTACTTGTAAGATTCACGTTATTTCTGAGCTCACCAAAAAATAAACAAATTAGAATAGAATGCAATGAAACAAAACATGTTTACAGCTACGTCCTCACTATAATTGACTTAAAAAGTCCCTCTGAAGTGTGTTCAGTAACCAAATGTCCATCCTTGCCATATACAGTAAAACTCTTGCTAACAAAGTGACAACAACTAAATGAGGCTTTTACCGTTCTGCCTGTGTAGTACAGGAAGGTGAACCCCCCGGCCGTGAGCAGAAAATGCAGCACCAGGACTCCCAGAAGCAAGCGCAGCAAGGTCTTGCTGTGGCCTGCAGACGAGGACTGAGGCTGGATGAGCACCTGAGCCTGGCGCGGCGGCAGCGGAGGCGGGAGCGATGCCACACTGCTGTGGTATGTGTTGATCATTATAAAGGAGCGGAGCGCAAAGTGGCATCCCGCGTGCTTGAGGCTGTGATATGTAAAGCGTAACTACAGCGTCATTTTCCCTTCTCCTCCTCTTCTTCTTTGTCGCGACAGAATTGTTTGGTGTCATTTGCATTTCCTCTCAACCAAGGTGAGAAATCAAATCAGAAGACATCTTCCTCTCACAATAAGAGTAACCTAATTGTGGCCTTAAAAAAAAAAAGGAGGCACCGCAGGACTATTTCCATTTCAGCCACTGATGTCATCATTTTAAAGAGGCAAATTTTTTGTTTTATTTTATTTGCTGCTGGTGCACTTGGAATATCGCGCTCTGGGTACCAATAAAGTTGATCTTACCTTATTTTGACCAGTGATTCTCAAGCATTTTGGCCCCTATGATTTCTATGACGGCATTTGTGGCATCTTGGAGTGAATTGAGGCACTTCAATAGAGCTAACATTGTGATTTACTGACATCTTGTGGTGTCCAGGTGCCTATGAATTATGTTGAAGTGAGTTGTGGATCTTCATTTAGGTAAACATAATTCTTTGCTGTGGTATGTGTCATTTTGGTGCCAAGGAACTATGCTGAGGTGAGTTGGGGAGCTTCATTAAAACTGAAAGAGTGCTTTGTCACCATTTTGTGGAATCTTAGTGCCTTTGAATTATGTTGATAGGAGTTGAAGAATGTCATTTAGAAAAAAGTAGTGCTTTCCCTTTACCGTCATCTTCTGGCATCCTGGTGCCAAGGAATTACATTGCAGCGAATTGAGGAGCTTTATTTAGACTAAATGTAGTGCTTTACCGTCATCTTGTGGCATCACTGTTCCAAGAAACTACACTGAAGTGAATGTAGTAGCATAATTTCAACAAAAAATAATGGTTTTCCGCCATCTTGTGGCGTCATGGTGTCAAGAAACTATGTTTAAGTGAGTTGAGGAGCCACATTTAGACAAAAGTAGTGCTTTACCACCATCGATTACAGGTGGACTTTCACTATTCTCTCTTTCTTTCTTTTGATGTTATTTTTCCAGAAAATTTTAAATCAATTTCTTATGGTTCAACTTTTGGGTACTTGGGATGTTCCGCCTTGCCATGCGTACTCCATTCTCATGAGAACCGGGTCATGGGTGCTTGTCACTGTGACTCAGCTGTAGAGGATACGCCAGCTGAAGCCGACAGCATTAGCCCATTGTGGCGTATTAACCAGAGCTTTTGGGGCGCCCACACGGCGTTGTGTGGCATTTGTGAAACGTTGAAATTGGAGCAAAGGGCCTACACGACCCCCTGATGCTTTACCACCAAGTTAACTGCTCCAGGAAATCCGAAGCTTTCAAACCACTCGTGTTTCTTCTCACGTTATTTGAATCATAGCTTGTGTGAAGACTTCGTGTTGTGTGTTCAATTATCAAACAGTCAAGGTTCTGGTTTTGAATCTTTGCTGCAGACTTCCTGTGTAGTGTCCAAGATAATTGCTGAAAAGAGACTGACAACTATGACATGCTGAATTGAGGAGATATAGCGTGAAACTGACTTTCACTATTTCAGTTTTCCCAATTTTTTGAGTCGCCACTTCCCCACTATATAAGAACTTGAGCGTCTTCATTTGAATCAGCCGTTGTCTGGGACAGTTGCGCCGTGCAGTTAGCTAGCTAGCTATGCCAACAGCCCCAAAATGTATCTTCCCTTAGCCGAGCTGCTTTCGAGCCTTCCGTTGTCGATTGTGAGTGAGGAAGGCGTTGAGCAGCAGGTGGGGTGGCGAGGATTTATTCATTTACTTATTGGAGAAACACTTATGAGAGAACAAACATGTTTTTCTTCAATGTATTTATTCTGATTGTCATTTCTAAGCAGATTTTTTGCTATTTGCGGGCCAGCCCAGTCCCTATTACCCCCACCCCCCGAATGGCGGGGGTCCACTTTATATACCAAACATAGTTCAAGACTATGTAAGTTAATAAAAGAAAGAAACGTATTTTGTGTACAGAGATGTTTTATTGTTTTCATTGACAATACAAGTATTATATATACATGGTAAAAGACATTCAGTTTGTCCTAATTTACATTTAAGTAGGAGTTGAATCAGTACTTCTACTTCCAACATTATTTATTTATTTATTTTTTAATTTTTTTAATACAAGTAAAGTACTTCTCCTAAAAACCCAGCCGCTGGGGGGCAGTGCCCTCCCCTTTAATACAAGTAAAGTACTTCTCCTAAAGTCCAGAGTGTGAGTACTTGCAACATCTCACGTCATTGTCTTCATAGTTTGTGTAGAGGTCTGGTGTTGTACATTCACTCATCAAACAATACACTGACAGGTCACCTCTCAGTCTTGAGATTGACAAGCCGGTGCGGCGTGTAGTGGACGACGAGGGCACGGCGGCAGCCGCTGTGGTCGGTGGCGCCGCTGAGCGAGCGACGTTGCCGCCCGCCGCGGAACAAGTCACACAACCTCTGTGACCTCGAGCTGGGCCGCGCCTCTTGAATAGACAGCGGCTGTGCGTTGCACTTCACAAAGGCCAGGAGACATCGGGAAAACTAGGACAAATACGACATAAAGGGATAATCAAAACACATTTTAGCTCCAAAATAGACTTAAAAAAAATTGCCATTGTCATCGGTAACATCATCGCCAGCATTGTCGTGGATGTCGTCATCAGTCACAACATGGTGACGGCTCTCACTTGGTTGTTGAAGAAAATGTAGATGACGGGATTGATGACGGTGCTGAACTTGGCCAGGACGGAGGGAACCACACTAGAGGAGGGCGTGACCAGCCACGAGCCGCCGAACGTGGTCATGAGCGCTACCACGCCATAGGGCATCCAACACAGCAGGTAGCACGACACCAACGTCAACACCATCCTCAGGATGCGATGGTCTCGACGTGCCGTTGTCAGGGGGTTGATCTTCCCCATCTGTACAATAAGAACTTGTCTTACAATAGTCATACATACAGTAATATTCTCAAACTTTCTGGATGCAGGGCCAATATTTTTCTAAGGACCTCCTCAATTATCCTAACGTCAATCAAACATCGGCATGTGTGCCCTTAAATGCCATCGGAATTAAGAAGGATAAAATGATCATGATCGCAGTTTGGATGTTGTTCTGCGTTGTTTTCATCCGATTTTGCTTTCTTTTATGTGATTTTTTGTTTTCCTGGATCCCAAGTGCACTTCTCATCAGCTCGTTTGATTTTCTTCCCCACGTGTAATTGTTAGCTCTGTTTCTTTCGTGTCAACCAGTTAGCTCCCTCCAACCACTCGCGTCTTGTTCAAGTGTGCCTTGTTGTCTCATCAATTTGTTGGTAGTTCCCTGCTTTCGCTTGGTGGTGATTCATTGATGCTGTCATGTCACAGAGTCGTTATCATGCCCCCCGTTGTCTTCAGTGTTTACTTTTTTTCTGTTACTTTGTATCATGTTTTTTGCACTTAAATCATTCTTTTCTTGATCATACTGTCATAGCTTGTTTTTCCTTTTTCTAATCAATCGTTCTTGCCTTGCCTCCATGCTTGAGTCCTCCCACTTTTGCCACTAACTCCACAACACAAAGCTCTATCGTGACAAAAAAAAAAACAGTCACGATCTTTTCAAGTTATAATACAACGGTGCACCAACGCGCCCCGCGACCCTTGTGTGGATAAGCGGATCGGAAAATGGGTGGACATTTTGGGTTACATTTTACCCGTTTTCCAATAAAACCCTATTAATGCCCTTCATTCATTTATTATTTGAGTGCATTCAAATATAATTTTCGAGACAGCGTTGTCAATGTCTTTTTTTAAATGACACTACATAAACTTGGAAGAATTTTGCCATTGCATTTTTCCTCCATCTTCAACATGAACAATGGAACGTCAACAAGTGGTTTTTTGTGCCATCTAGTGGTAGATGAGTCAAGTAGCCCATAAAATTCACCTTAACTGTGTTCCTGGTTCATTTCCAATTGTCTCATTTCATTTTGTGTGTGTGTGTGTGTGTGTGTGTCTCTCTCTCTCTCTCTCTCTCTCTCTCTCTCTCTCTCTCTCTCTCTCTCTCTCTCTCTCTCTCTCTCTCTCTCTCTCTCTCTCTCTCTCTCTCTCTCTCTCTCTCTCTCTCTCTCTCTCTCTCTCTCTCTCTCTCTCTCTCTCTCTCTCTCTCTCTCTCTCTCTCTCTCTCTCTCTCTCTCTCTCTCTCTCTCTCTCTCTCTCTCTCTCTCTCTCTCTCTCTCTCTCTCTCTCTCTCTCTCTCTCTCTCTCTCTCTCTCTCTCTCTCTCTCTCTCTCTCTCTCTCTCTCTCTCTCTCTCTCTCTCTCTCTCTCTCTCTCTCTCTCTCTCTCTCTCTCTCTATATATATATATATATATATATATAGACACACACACACACACACACACATATATATATATTTATATATATATAAAACAATTTAAATGAGAGAGAGAGATTCCAAGAACCGATGAACACAATGAGTAACCTTCTGGAGTGACTGCATGCCAGAGATTTCCAGGACTCTAATCTTTTTGTCTCCACATTCTTGCTACGTGAAAAACTGCCTTACTATGCGTGGTTAATTTGCTGTTTATGTGCCTCTTTAGATGCTGCTGTTTTGCTTAGCAACAGCATTTTAATTGGTTGAGGAGTGAACTCTTCAATAACATTTCTCTCTCTCTCTCTCTCTCTCTCTCTCTCTCTCTCTCTCTCTCGCTCGCTCTATTTTCATATATTTGAGGAAATACGTTCATTTCCGAAAGGCATCATACTCATGAAACTTATTTTTGATGTCAAGTGTACTGAATGAGGTGTCCAGTTCTGTGGCCAGAAAGAAAAGCCAACAAGCTCCGATGCCGTTGAGTAAGGAGCCGAGCGGAAAAATCTACAGTCCGATTGACGCGTTTCAAAGAAAAGCCAGAGGCTGATGTCTGAAGGCTCTCGCTGCAAAAGAAACTGAGCCCCTGGCTGTACAGTGATCTAGTCTGCAAAGACCCCCACCCACCCTCTTCATTCAAGACTCCCTCGGGTGAGCACGCGGTTTGAAAATAGAGATGCTTACATAAGGGTAGGTATCCAGTAGTAACCGTCCTAAAAATATCTCGGCAGCGATTCACCGATGGCGCGCCCATTGACAAGTATTCATTAGGAATTATTTGTGTGATAGCCGGATTTATGTAAGACGCACGGAGTCATGCATGAGTCACCGCCAAACCAGAGGGGGTCGTCGACCTTGAAAATGCAGCCGCACACCCCAGGGAAGAAATTGCCCTCCTTCCTGGTGGTTACGTGGTTGGGTTTATTTTTAAGATTGTCAACAGAGCACTGGGAGATAAATGTGAGAGAAAAAGGCGGCAAAAATACTCTACTTAAAGTCAAAGCATTTCTCTTGCTGTTGCTGTTGTTGAAAGTTTTGAATTGTCCCGGAAGGAGGCACCGCAGTGAGTCACTCACATGATTTTTTTTTTTTTTGGGGCACTGGTTTTACATCGATGCCCTTCCTTGACAACTTCACTAATTGGTACAAATGGAAAATAAATTAACTCTTTCATCTTATAATAAGATGAATAAGTTAAGTTGTTTAAGTGCTTTCAAATGATACTGAAATGACTATAATGACAACAAAAATTTAATCAAACAGTAATGAGTGGTTATTAAAATGCAAACAACCAGTGGCCCTTCTGTATATATTTTTTTAAATTCAGCGAAATAATGAAATTGAAAATGGTTTTCATTCATTCATTTTCCGAACCACTTTATCCTCACTAGGGTCGCGGGGGTGCTGGAGCCTATCCCGAGTGTCTTCGGGCAGTAGGCAGGGGATACCCTGAACCGGTTGCCAGCCAATCGCAGGGCAATGCTTTTAATTAAATGGAAATAATTATATATAATTTTAACAATTATTTTTAAAAAGTGAAATAATTTATGTAATATGTATGTAAAATTGAATATCTTGGATAGTAATAGTGGTAATAATCATCACAAATGTGATAAATAATATGAAGTCATGAGACACAAAACGTTTCATTAAGTTAAAACATATTTTAATATTAACGATATTATCTGATAAATAATTAAAGTATTAAGTTTATAAGTAGAAATACTACAAATCAGAAAAAACTCATGTGCTTCAGTAAAGAAGTAAAAAAAAGTACAGATTTGCATGTACAAAAGATAGAGAAAAAATATATATATTTGTTACTGTCAATTATATTACGATGCCCATTTTGCTATCTTGGAACAAAAAAAAAGTCCTCAGAAAAATACTCAAGCAACATAAACATACCGGATAAATTGACTTAAGAACAGTAACCCGGTGCATTTGAATGAGCGTGTCTGACCTCACCTGTCTGATGGTGATCAGGATGCGGCCGTAAGAGTAGAGCATGAGAAGAAGCGGGAGCAGCAGACAAAAGATGAAGAGGCACAACACGTAAGAGATGCTGCTGGGTGACTGCAGGTGCCACTGGACCGAACAGGTGGTCCCGGGACCCTCGGGCCCATAGCTGCTCCAGCCCAGAAGTGGAGGCAACGTCCAGAAGAGGGCATAGAGCCAGCAACCCCCGATACACAACCAGGCCTTCCGGAAGTCTGACATGTCCACTTGGGAGGAACGCAGCACTATGATGTAGCGCTCGTATGACAGGACGGACAAGGACACCAGAGAAACGATGCCTGGAAAAGAGCGGGAGACCGATAACAGGCCCATGGACGTTTTTTAGAGAACTGATTGGTGGTGAAATGTGTTGTAAAAATGACCCTATTATTTTAATCTACATCGTTTGTGTGGGTCATGAAAAACCAGTAAAACTCATGAAATGGATTTTGCAAAAATTAAGGCTTTAAAAGGTACTAAACACCATTAAATACATGCAGTAATTAAATAAAAATAGCAATGGTAGGATGCCCGTTAGCGGTTAGCATCGAGCTATGTTGCTAAAATAACTTTTGACACTTTTGAGTAATGGCCAGTCAAAGAAGAGTGAGTACATTTTTGGTGGGACATCCTGTCGTTCTAACTCATGCAGTCCACTTTGTCAACTTATGCCGAATTTCAGTTTGACATCCCTGTCAGTTAACGCTGCTTTTAACATGGTCACGTTTCTATTGGTTTGACATCAAGGAGAAAAGCCGCGCCAACGCCACAGGAGAATCACAACGATTCTTGCTGTCACCGCTCACCAGTGGCAAATATGAAGAAAATATTCCCCCGGTAGCTGGATGCTTGCATTTCATTCTTTGCTCGCTTTTGAACTTTATCCGAAATTCCCCAAATAGTAGCCCCGACAAAGTTGACTCACCAAAGAAAGAGTTTGCGAAGCCGTACCACCTGCACCCGAACTCCCCGATGAGCCAGCGTCCGCGCAGGCTGGCGGCGAAGCTCAGCGGGGTCCCAAACACGCACACCAGCACGTCGCTCAGGCTGATGTTGAGCAGAATCGCGTTAATGGGCGTCCACAAGCACCGGAACCGAGCGAACACCAGCAGCGTCAGCGAGTTGTTGACAATGCCCGCCACCAGGATGACGCCGAGGCACACCGCCACCGCCGTGTGGCCGCTGCGGCTCAAGCCGCCCGAAGCGTCCGGTTCGCCGGGTCCGCGCGCGGTGCCGTCCGGTGGGGGCGTAGGGAGGCTACTGTCCACGGTGCTGAAGTTGCCGGAGACGCGGATGTGGACCACCATTGTGGGTGGGTAAGGGTCCTGCAGGTCGGTCCTGTGCAACTCAATGCTCACACACTTGAGAGTGAAAGAGTCGAGTGTCACTTTCAGTCATGTCCCTCCTTGTAATGTATAGACACACACGCTGCCTCTCGCATTGTTTAGTGAGTGAGCATCATGTATAGTCCACAGGTGTCAAACTCAAGGCTCGGGGGCCCGATGTGGCTCACCACATCATTTTATGTGGCCCGCGAAAGTAAATCAAACATGTCAACTTCCATGATTGATGCTTGCTAAAATCTTGCAAAATTTCAAATTGTCATATGTAATAAATAATATTTGTTACATTGTAAGCATTTTCTTGTGACCAAAGTCCTCATCACTGTCCGAGCGAACATCTCTGACATGCCCCCCAAATCTTCTTTTACGTAAGGTTAAGACAAGTAATTCAATTTGAGATAGATGATTTAAGGTTAAAGGGTGGCTGGATTATATCCACTTTTAGCTATTCTGTTGGTTTCTTTTTATGCTTTGGATGTTATTTGCATTGTGTTTGTGCTTGCAATACCCTGTATGTGATAACTCATACTCTATTACTGTATATATACTGTGTATACATTGTACATTTCACATTTATGACTAACAAAAGTAATGTATTTGATTTTTGTGTGTGTGAAAGTGTCACCTGCGTACTGTACTGTGCAAGACAAACACAAATGACCTATTGGAAGGCATGACCAATATAGCAAGCAAAGAGACGCGTTATTAAAGTCAAAGTAAAATCCCAGCAGAATATCTGAAATAAACAGATGATGATGCTGAGGATGTACCGAGGAGATTAATGTTGAGAGAAGAGATGGGTATTTTCCTCTGCATATTTGCTGACTTGACCCACTCAGCTAGTCAGCCTCCCTCCTGACATTGGTGCGGCATTGGGGAATGTCAATGGCAATAATCATCCAATTTCGAGACGTACAGAATAGTCAGTGGCAGTGGAAATGTGAATAAATAACATGACTGCTTTTACAGTATTGCCTTGCTCCATAGCTCGCTAGATAGCTCGCTAGCCAGCCAGACCGACAGACAGATAGATAGATAGAATCCACTGTTATGATGAGCTTCCTCTTTGCCTTCAGTCAAGCATAGAATAGGTTGGAAGACGATCCTAAAAAGTGTCAAAATAATGGCCCAATTTGAAGCTCATCTCCAACAGACACTTTGCTGAAAATGACAAAAATCGTGGGCATTCAGTGAAGCATGATGATGGACCTTTCGGTTTCCATTCAGCAGCAGCTGGTTTGCATTCAACTCGACAAATTATTGAATCACACTCTAAAAGTGTGTAAGTGGCTGTAAAAAAAAAAGGCTGTCAATCTTCCCCCCACGCCCCCACACACACACCCCCTCCAAAGAAAAAAAGCAAGAAGTTGGGTTTCCAATGTATACTGTACCACAGACATACAGTGGATCCCCGCATATTCTCAGTTTGGAATCCATGGATTCACCTATTTGCAGATTTTTTTTTTCAATTTATTCCATTTTAAAAATATATATTTTATATTTGTTATTTTAAATTCTAAAATAAAGTCATAGTTTTAAGACAAGGTGTACATATGATATGAAAGGAAATGTTTAGTGAGGGAATACGGTCTGATTCCGAAGTGAAATAGAACTTTACCATTTTAACATTCTGCCGATATTTACTTTAAAAAGAGGACTCTAGAATTCCTGAAATAAAATGGGACTTAATTCTGGTAACAATAAGCCTCTTGTTCTTAAAATTGACTTACAGCTATATAGTGATGTCATATTTCGGTGATAATGTCATGAACATATCATAAACTTGATTGAGCTGATGAAGGAATGAGTGATTGGTTTATTTTATTTTGCAGACGCCCAAATGGTCGGGGCACCCCAGTTTGAGACCTACCAGCCGAATTTACTGGATTAAAATATTGGAGGACCAGCCAGGACAGGGCACTCATGTCGCGTAAGTCTTTCATTGTGTTGTGCGAACGTTGACGCACACTAGACAACAAAGTTGACTTCAAGAAATAATCTTCTAACACCAGTGGCTTTGGTTTGCATTTAGCATTCCTTCACATGGAGTCTTTTATTCACAAAACTTGACGCAGAATACAGACAAAACCCACACATAAAGTAACTATGTTTTTGTACATGGGAATTTCTTACTGCTACTTCTAAAAACACTCATTTAGACACGAACCTGCTCTCTGTTATAAATACGGACATTTGTTCGTTGAATGTACCATGATAATAATAATAACTTGCTCGCCAGACACTTGCTTCATGAGCAAAGTTTCCCATTATATGTTTACACGAAGCAATCAAAGTACTTTGAAGGTGAATGACAAATAAACAGCTTGAAGCAAAAACACTTTGCTTCTCATTTGAATGGGCTGTTCTGGATCTGCCCAATGACACCACATGTACAAGGAGGGGGTTCGAACACACAACACTGAAACAATACCAAAACTGCATACTTGTCTGTAGGTGGGGAACAAACACGAGGAAACAGCACAAAGTAAGACCGTAGCGAAAATACTGCGATTTTCACAAGAAAAATGTGATGTCACGTTCCTGGCGTGGCGATCCCATTTGAATTACAAACACGAATAGTTAACACTTTAACATGGAGCTCAAGGAAAAAAAACTCATGAACAGTAAACATGACTCAAGAGTTAAAAATAGACGAGAATGTAACTCTTCAGGGATGGGGAAAATCCGCAAATAAGCCACGTTGGTTTTTTTCAAGGGATTCAAGATGGGGCAAAAAGTGGCATTGTGTTGTCTGAACTCTGCCGAATGTTTATTGCGACATCGGCGGTTAGAAAATCAGTGTGGAGCCAATTCTGGTCATACCACAATTGACTCCATACTGTCGTGGGAATTTACAATGGATTTTTCAACTTTTTGTGTCCAGGTGAGAGTTTTTTTTTCCATGGACCCCCTCATATACCCAACACCAATTAAACATAACTACCATGCCACCGGAATGAAAATTCTGCCTATTTTTCGAGAGGAAAAAAAAAAGCCCTACAGTCATGATAACAAAATCTTTTCATTTTTGGGGGAGAAAAACACTTTGTAATCTTAAGAGCATCAAGTTGTTTTCTTTTTTTTCCCAAGAAAAAATGTGTAGTCTTTACAAAAACAAAGATGTATTTGCCAGGAGAAAAACTTTCCAGATAAATTCAAAATATTAATATATAAAAGTCAATGTTTAGCAAGTAAGAAAGGCACATTTTAGCCAGTGAATTTAAAAAATATGACAATATTATGCCTTTTATTCTGGACAAAATGCATTTATTTTCTCACAAATAGGACTATATTTTTGAAAAAAAAAACCCAACAAAAAAAAACAGGTCTTTTATTCCCCCCAAAAAGTATTAGCTTGGGGATGTCACATTTATATGATAACGCATCAATCATATCAGATATTTTTAATTAGTCCAAATTAAAATAGGGAAGACTAATTTATTTATTATGTTTCTTTTATTGGCTCTAGTTATGCACTTATTTATAATGACACAACACAAGAATTAATTGCAAATTATATTGCTCACCCTCAAGCTACAGTTTACGGATCACCGGGAACCCAAGTTCAAAAACAACGCAACAATCATTTTTGAGCAGGGACAACAATGACACGTTTATTTGGATGATGCTTCTAATTATGTCCATTTTGGAAGGTTTGATAGCCTCCCAGGAAGCCTGACTGCAGATGCTGTATTGCATACGAAGGCTTACCAGGCTCAAAGCCTCCAGCGGGCTCCACAGAGTCTCTAAATCCTTGGGGCACCATCCAATTGGCCAGATGTTCGGTCTTGGAGCCAGAGGCCACGCCGGGCGCCATCTCGGCGCGGTCGCCGTGCAGGAGGTTGAGCAGCGACGAGGCGTACTGTTGCCCGGTCAAGCTCAGGTCTTCCACGGAATACGCGGCGGATGGCAAGCCCGACGTCTCCCCTGTCCTGCCGATGAATGAGTGCCAGGGCCCGGCGTGGTCGTCGGCGGGGCCGAAAGCCAAGTGGCGGCCCGTCACGGGCGCAGGCTCGACCAAGTTGGTGTGGCCGTTGCTGCTGTCCTCTGATGGAGAACAAGCAGTTAAAATGAACATCAGGATGCTACCTGTCAGTCACCGATGTCTCTGATTGAGAACTACAGTGGAATGTGACACGCGAAATTTCACCAAACAGGTCAGAAGATTATTCCAGTAAAAGCCCATTATTTGCGTGGGCGTGGGGGAGGCGGCTCCGTTTGAGCCCCCGGCAAGAATTGCAAAAACAAAAAAACAAATCACCGGCCATTAATATTTATAAATGCAAATAAATGGTGTTGAGGTGATATGAGGTGCTTCATTTATGCAAAGGTAGTATTTTACCGCCATCTGGTGACAAATTGGTACCAACAAAATATGTCAAACTGAGTTTTAGAGCCTTAATTTAGACAAAAGTAGTACTATGGTGCAAACTTGTGGCATCTTGGTTCCAATGATATGTTAAATTAAGTTCAGGAGCTTCATTTAGCCATAGGTAGTGCTTTGGTGCTATCTCTTGGCATATTGGTGCCAAGGAATTACGCTGGAATGAGAGGTACTTCATTTTGACAAAAGTAGTGATTTGCCGCCATTTTGTGACATCTATAGGCAATCATCAACCTTTTTGGTTGGGCGCCCAATAGCAATTACTACTTTCCTATTAGCCAGGGCTTTGGCACCCCTTGTGGTGTATTTGTGTGTTATAGAAGGAGCGCAACAATAAGCAAACAGCTGAATATATTGACGGCCATTATTCACTGCATTTATATCCTACAAATAGTTTGTCTCTATGTTCATCTATCTATACCAGCAATGTGTAGTGACAGGCAGAACAATTGTCTGTTCTCCCGCTGGATGGCAAAAGTTGCAATTAACCGGTGTACAACAACATCAAAGACCGAATAGAATACTGTAGCAAAAAAGCCCAGACGTCAATTTGTGAGTGAATTTGGACGACCTTGCCTGTCTTACCTAACTTGATGTTTTTACGCATTTTCTTGGCCTTGGCAACCGGCATGTTGTCCTTGCCGTCTTTGCTGAGAGCACGGCTGAAGTGAGCGTCCACCATGCTGCCGATGTCGCCCCGAAAATACCTGAGGATCACGCTACGGGAGTGGCCCTCCACCTTGACGGCCACCGGACTGTTCATGCCATCCTCCATGGGTCAGCCGGCACTGAAAACCGCAGAGGACAAGGAAATACGCATGTGCAGGTCAACTTTATTATTATTTTTTATATTTTATGGTCCTCCTTCCCAATCTTGAGCCGTGGCACATATTTTACATTCCAAATATCCTGCGGCAAACCACCAAACAACAATTCAAAAAGTGGATACACACTGTAAATGACGTGCTTTCTGCCATGTAATGGAAAAGCATTTCGTTATTGTGCCTGGCAATACACGTCAGTGGGCATGAGTTAGATCAGGGGTCCCCAACCTTTTTTGCCCCACGGACCGGTTTAAGTCAGACAATATTTTCAGGGACCGGCATTTAAGGTGTGGCGGATTAATACAACAAAATAATATGGTATGAGCTGCATGAAAACGGTGGTGTTTTCGAAATATAAAAATAAACACAAGGAGCGTCTAATCTGGTCGCAACACTCTTATCGCTCTGGTAATGTTTAATGCCTTAAAAATACGATACAACGCAAAGTGCATGAAAATGACAACTCACCACAGCCCCGAGCTTGATTTTCTGCAATCAGACAGTCCCATCTCGGGGTAATAGGAGACAATGACACCTCAAGTGTGTGGTTTATGTCCAGTCTACTTCGTAATTTTGTTTTAGTCGCCGTTG